TTCATTGTTTTTGAAAGCAAACAGCAGGGGGCAGTCAGACACCTTTCTTTCCCGACAGGTTGACCAAATGGGGTCAATGCAACAAGTTCCTACTTTGCCTGTGCAGTTTGGGCATGATGACGGGTTAATGCCAAACAGTAAGTGAAGTTATGAGAAATTTCAGTTGGTTTATCTGAGCAGAAGTAATGAGCTGTGCACAGCTGCACAAGTGCTAACAGGTGTGCTGAGTGAGGGTGGGCTCACTGATCATGGGAGGTTAAAGAGATTTGGCAAATAACCTAAATTTCCCCTGATGCCAGATATAACAGCCAACATATTGTTGGTTTTGCAGTAGATCTTTGAGGCTGCTGTCGCTAATAGTAATGTAGGTATACATTTTGTTACATGCGTGTATATAAATATATTTCGCTGTTGTCAGATCAAAACCTTGTATCTCCAAAATGGCAACTTTACAGGAGAAGGAAAAAACATACTTCACTTTTAATGTAATTCAATGGAACTAGATTTTTTCCCAAGTCATTCTGGGCCATTTCAATATAAAGAGCAACAGACATTTTCAAATTATGTCAAAAACTGAAAAACGGAAAAAAAATTGAGATACGAGGTTTTCTTCTGACAGCACCTATATATATATATATATATATATATATATATATATATTCATTTTTCAGTTTATGACCAAATTTGAAAATGCCTTTTGCCCTTTATATTGTATATAAATTCATAGTAAATGGACCAAAGTAAATGACCCAAACTGACTTGGAAAAAAGTAATGTATGTTTTTTCTTCTCCTCTAAAGTTATCATTTTGGAGATACAAGGTTTTGTTCCACCAATAATTTGGCATAAATGTCACATATATGTCCATATGTGACTAAAATAAGTTGGATATACTGAAAATCCATATCTGCTAAAATATGTCACACATTTGAAACCCATATAATACCATATATTAGATTTCTGTATGGATTAGCATTAAACAAATTGTATTGTGTATCAAATTGTATATCTACATCTTTATACACTTGCCTCAAACTGTGTTTAGTTGTTAAGCAATCTCACTTATGTGGCTTCTAACACTGTATAACATACGGTTATCTACAAAAATGAACAAAAGTATTTAGCATAGCTTTAAACAGCAGTAACCACGCTGAAGCTACTTCACGAAATGCTAACTGTCTGTTAGCATTGTCCAAATAGCATGCCTGAATCATCACACACTTGCCTCTTGCCTTGTTGAGTTGTTAAGGAAGCTCAAATAGACTTGTTTGTGTGGTTTCTAACACTGTATAACATACTGTTATCTACAAAAATAGACAAAAGTACTTAGCATAGCCAAAACCAATATTAGCAGCTATCTTGCTTGAATGCTGCCTGTACTTTTGTCCATTTTTATCGATAATAGTATGTCATATAGTGTAAAACACATAAGCAAGTCTATTTGAGATTATTTAACAACTTAACCAGGCATGAGGCAATGTGTGATGATTTAGGCATTCAATTTAAACATGCTAACCAATGGCCATAAGTTTCCAAGCTATATTAGCCTCAAACCTCAGACACTCAGCACATCGTGGCTGAGTACATTTGGAGTAAGAGGGGGAAAACTGTGATTTTTGTTTTACTTTAAGGTGGAGTTTATGTGCGGGTAGAGAGGGTTGCAGAAGCCATGTTGTTGCCCTGATGTGGGTTAAGTGAGCTGTTGCTGTGACAGGAACATCAGAGCACAGCATCAATCAGGCCTTTCATTAGAGGCTGCTGCCTCTCTCAGCACCTCCATCAGCAGATGACTCCTCCATTATTGATCAAACCAACGCATCCAGCAGCCACACCTCTCCAGAGGCTTCCTCACACAGGACCTTCACAGCAGGATCCAGGGTTTGCATGTTGTACTATGCCACTCATTTTTAGTTTACTAGTAAAAGCATGTGCTTTACCACATCTTATAACAACATAAATGTGCTTAAAGGGGAATTCTATTGATTTCCCAAAATTTCCCTGCTGTCCCAAGTGTTTCTGATCGTTCCTGAATGTGTTTTGGCTTTTTAAATAGGTTAATATCACAGTGTAAAGGTTTAAAAAATAAAAATTGGCTGATTCTAAAAGTATTTGATGGTTTCCTGATGGGATCTGAATGTGTTCTACAGGAAACTACTGGTCTCTTTTGAAAACCATTAGGCTAAATCCCATCCTAATGGTTTCTGATGTTGCAGGGTTCTCCTAATCCAACCAGTGAGATATCAACAAAGTCATTCAGAGTGATTTGATGTAGGATGGTTCCTTGCAGAGAAAATCAAACGACTCTGATTTCTTTACAGTGGTGGTGATGGGAACCAAAATAGTGCTAAATCTGAAAAAAAGGTTTGGGGACTATTTTGCTTGAAAACACCCTGCATGGACATTTCCACCATGAATTAATTAAAAAAATATGTTTCAGAACCAATAAAACCTCAAAATTATTGTAAAACATAAACATTTCATACTGTAGTGTGTTCAAGAAATGTGTTACGCAGCATTTATTCGCTGGGTTATTCTGCTAAGGACTCTTATTCTGAAGGGCAGGGGTAGCTGTTTGCTGTAGAATAGGAAGTACAGGTAAGTGGAGGTAAGCGAGAGAGTGCAGGCGTGAGCTGAGTGTAGAGCTACCTGTTAGCCAAAGGCCTTGCCTATTATAAGGCATGGCTGTGGCCACCTACAGCTCGGTAATAAAGCACAATGACTTGTGCATCAGTTGTGTCTTCTTTAAAAGCAGTAAACACTACAATATAGCAACTTTCTGTGATGAAGCTTTTAGAGACATTAATCTCATTAGACGTCTGGTTCCTATCACCACCACTGTGAACAATTCTGACTCTGTAAGTTCCTCTAGAACAGAGCATTTCACACCAAACCACTCTGAATGACTTCATGGCTTAACCATTTGCCAGATGCAGACTGGGAAGTTTGGGAATTTTCCCAGTGGGCTGGTCTTGTGAGGGCCAGCGTTCTGACAAATTATGCTACTTTGCCAAATGCCGTAGTTCATATTTACAGTTAGCTCCATACATAAAAACTCTAGGTAGGATAACTTGATAATCAAAAAATACTACCACCACTAAAACTACGAAGCCAGTTTAATCTTACTCACCAGTGTCTTGTTCAAATTTTCCTCTTCCACCTTAAATGGTGCAGCAGTTATTATAACGCCTCAGGCACCAGAATGTAACTGCTGCATCATTTAAGGTGGAACGGGAAAATTCAAACAAGAAGCTGCCAATTATAGCCTTGTATTAACACTACAGGTAGGATACTTTGTGGACAGAGAGCTATGCTGACAGTTCAGCTACAGCTTGCAGAGTTTGTGTTTTCCTTGTACTTCTCATGCCATTTCTCTGCATAACTTGAAAAAGAAAAGTCAGCATGGACTAGACTCTTGACTCTTTCGAGGTTCTTGGGGGAACCCCCCCATGTCACAGTATCTAGAATTTGGGCAGTTAGTACCCAGCTAGAAATTGTAAAATATCTACCACTTGTTTCCAGATATTTTTTAATGGATAAAAAGAGAAAACCCAGAAAACATTAACAGACTGTGTTTTTTCTATGGTTTTTGAGGGGTTTCTTTTGGGATAAATTGATCGACAAATGTTGTGTCCGTTCAAATTGGGGTCACTTGACAGCAAATTCCCAAGCTGCTTTTTGTTGCCAGTCCACCCCTCCCATTTACTGTGCTGAAGTGTTGAAAACTCTGGAATTCCCCTTTAAAATAATGTTAATAATAATAATAATAGTAAAAAAGCTCTTTAACTATTTAAAAAGTTTTGTATTGGTTAAAACCTTCAAAAAGTGCTGTAATGATAGTTTAGGCCACAAATTAAGCCTCTCTCTCAACTCAGGCTGACCAATAAAGGACAGGTGGTCCACTGTGTTTATACAGATTATGCTACCAGGCAGTGACGTTTTGTTTTTTGAAACGGTTTTGGAATATTAGCAAGGCAAATTCAGACTGAATCACAGCAGATGTTGGAGTGGTTCACATTTCTTTTCACTAACAGCACCATCAAATCATGATACATGTCAGTGCTTCAAATGTGCTAGAACCTGAAATAATTACAGTTCTATCTTAGATCCTGAGAGTTGAATTTACCAGATTCTATTTTACAGAGATATGAGGTTTGGAAGAACTGGACTGCTCTTATCTATTTCTCAACATATTTAAGACCTGCTTGAAATTACAGTGAGACTTCCAAAAGCCATTTTCTTATGTTTCAGAAATCAGGGCTCCTTCATTAATGCAATATTAAAATCTACTTTATTTCTCTGAGACAATCTTAAGAAAAACATTTTTTTTCCACGGGGCAGTTACATCTTGCACTCTGGTGCCATCTAGAGGTTATCATTTAAAAAAAATATAGATGTAAAAATGTTGTTAGTGAGAAAAACTAAGACTATATCAACTATAACATTAAAACTATCTCCTTGTTTCTACACTCACTGTCCATTTCATCAGCTCCACTTACCATATAGGAGCACTTTGTTGTTGTACAGTTACTGCTAGTGTCTTTAAACACTGTCCACTCACTGTCCACTCTATTAGACACTCCTACCTTGTTGGTCCGCCTTATAGATGTAAAGTCAGAGACGATAGCTCATCTGCTGCTGCACAGTTTGTGTTGGTCATCCTCTAGTCCTTCATCAGCGGTCACTGGACGCTGGTCACAGGATGCTGTTGGCTGTATATTTTTGGTTGGTGGACTATTCTCAGTCCAGCAGTGACACTGAGGTGTTTAAAAACTCCAGCAGCACTGCTGTGTCTGATCCACTCAGACCAGCGCAACACACACTAACACACCACCACCACATCAGTGTCACTGCAGTGCTGAGAATGATCCACCACCCAAATAATACCTGCTCTGTGGGGGTCCATGGGGGTCCTGACCACTGAAGAACAGGGTAACAAAGTATGCAGAGAAACAGATGGACTACAGTCTGTAACAGTAGAACTACAAAGTGGTAAGTGGAGCTGATAAAATGGACAATGTCCAACGTGTTCAATGTGCACTGTAAATATTTAAAATATATATATTGAATATTTGTATGCAAAAATATAAAAACGTTATATTATTTCCATTCATGTCTTTGGTGGGTATCAAACTGCAAGGAGGTCCAGTAAATCCTGACGTGTGGGTTCCCCTCAGAGCGAAGGCACTGGAAAAGCCAACAACATAGACTATATTAAGTAAATTGGAAAAGTGAACAGGCCTGCAAATTCAAAATACAGTTTAAATTGAGGCCAGACTACTTACACAGGTAGCGACGTTCCACTCAATTATTGTTCTGGTTATTTTCAAAGTACATGAAGTCCTAAAATACAGAGCCAACAGTTAGAGAAGATAAACGTTTTGGACAAACCTGAAGTTTGGGTGGGCAGTGTAACGGTAGCTTATTGTTAATGTGATCAATTTTGTCACAATACATAAGAAGGTCTCACTTTATTTGGACAGTCCCCTATAGATTATCTACAGATGTTCAAATTGTTAATGAACTATCTGCTGAAACTCACAGTGGTGGGGTTAGGGTTGAGATTTGGACCAGGGTTAGGGCTAATACCAGGGTGAGAGTTGGGTTTAGGTTTTGGGTTGAGGTTAAGGTCAGGGTTAGGATTAGAGCAGGTTTAGAGATGGTCAATATAGTAGATATTTAGCTGAATGTAACTTGAAAGTAAATTAAGTATCTACAGAGCATCCAAAGTGGACTATCCAAAACAAAGTTACCCTACATACAGTATATAATGGGTATCATCGAGCACAGAACAGCATACATCATGAACAAGACCAGTTCCAGAGAGTCTATAAACAACCAGTGTATAGTAACTACATAGCAACAAGAAGCTAATTGGATGTCAACCCATTATGACTTCATTCGTTAATTCATATTTTTTATCTAATGGGTAATTTGCTTGCATTACCAACATTCATAACCACTTTATTTCTGCAAACACTGGGTTGGAAAAAGTTAGTGTACTCGGTTTTTCTTCATTTTTGAAGGTTACGCAAAATTACTGTTCGGCGGGTACATTTTGTGAGTCCCAACTTTTATATAAACCCCAGAAAAATGAAAGATTGTGATATATTCTGTATTGTGTATGTCTTCAAGTATCATGATGCATTATTTTCCCACAACTTTAAAGGAATGGTTCGGCAAAAAATCAATGCAAAATCAAAAAGACAGCTAAACTGTGAAGTTTTGTTAATTTGGTTGTTTCTTAGAAGTCATACTGTGTCCTAAACATGTGTGTGTGACCTTAATAAAGACCTGGATGTGGCCTAAGTGGGTTTGAGAGAAGTTATGGGGATGCAATTCCGTAAATTTTGGATGACTATTAAATAGTGTTTGTTAGCAATGTTAGCCTTGTAGCTCCGGTGTAAAACTAAAGAAGCAGAATTTAAACACAAAACACGTCCTGGCTGATCAGCTACATCTGGGCTAAGTGGAAAACTGTGTGCATTCAGCTTTTTGCCTATTACTATTGCTTTAAGCTGAAGTGCCCAACATGATCTTTGCTTACAATGAGAAAGCAGGCCCCGAGAAGAACAGCTTTGATCTTCACGTCCAGGTCCAAGGGAAACTTAATGCCAAAGTTGTCAGCGTCAGTGAAGGCTTCTCGCAACATGCCTGTCCACTGCTTACAGACCCTGCCTACATTCGCGGTTTCATCCATGGACAAAACCTGAGGAGAACCAAGAAACACCCTGAATTGCAAGACAGCCAGAGAACAATGAAACAATGAAACAATGTTGGGTTACAAAAGTACTTTTGTGTTTCTAGATTCCTTCATAACTCAGTGTTTGAGACGTAAACAGAGTCATTCAGAGTGGTTTGGTGTGAAATGGTTGATTGTAGAGACTCAGGTTTCTTTACAGTGGTGGTGATAGGAACCAGGGGTCACCATGACTACAACACAAATATAGCTATTTTATTTGCTATTCATGTCTTATATGTCTTATATGTCATGTTGATCATGATTAAACCTGAAAAAAAATCTTTGGGGACTATTTTGTCTCACAGTGCACTGCATGTACCTCTCCACCATGAATGTATTAATAAAGTATATATTTTAGCTCTAAATCTTAAATATAAAAACTACCATAAAACAATGTCTCAGGCATTAGCAGCAACATATTCATATCCATTTTATGTTATAACCTTCTGTAAGGATTTTTTAGAGGTAGACGTCTGGTTCCTATCACCACCACTGTGAACAATTCTGACATTCTAGAATAGAGCATTTCACATCAAACCACTTTGAATGATGGTGTTTACATCCTAAAAACTGAACAACGCAGAAATAGTGAAAAAGCTGGATTACTTTAAGAGCACAGGATTGCAACAGCTATAGGGATTTTTGAGCTTGGACAGCTCCTCAGACACTCCAAGCACTGCCAAAAGTAGTTAGGGTATAGTACATCGTCCAGGATTTCTGAGAGTGTGTGGAAGACATCCACCCAAAAAGGGGTTAATTTGGCACAGAGAATGTAACTATGAAGAAGTGTTGCCTCCTCATCTCGACATTTATCACACAGGGGAGACACATCTGGGAGGATCTGGCAGCTTTTGTTGCCTGTGCAAGATCTTCAGTTGTATAAGGCGGTGCTGTTAATTAGCTGAGCACATGTGTAAACCCTCCCAGAGAGAATCCTGAATCTGCAACTCCAAACCCTGCTCCCATTGGGCTTTAATATTCTCAGTGGATGGAGTGTTATACTCTAGAGCAGGGGTCCGTGCAGCTCTTTTACTGCCTAAACATAAAATAATCCTCCTTTGCAGTAAAATAAAACTCTGTTGATCGTTCAACACAGTTTTACCAATAAATGGTCTTAAACACTGGAGTTAATGTAGAACTGCTAATTTAACCTTTAACCCTGAAGACTGGCATGCAGACTGCTGGTCACCATAGCAATGCAGACAACAATCTCACCCAGCAAGTAGCTAACGAAAAGTCAGAAAGAAAGATATAAGACAAACGTCAATAATTTAGAGACGAATTGACTTATTTGCGTTTGTAAACTGTCAAACACTAAAGCCGCGAGGCTAACGTCAGCTTCTCGTTCGCCAGCTTCTTGTTTGAATTCTCCTGTTCCACCTTAAATGGTGCAGCAGTTACATTCTGGCACCTCAGGCAGCATTTAAGGTTGAACAGGAAAATTCAAACAAGAAGCTCGAGAATGAGAAGCGACTTCAGCCTCGTAAACAGTCAAACGTTAAGAGACATTTTACAAGTAACTGTTCTACTTTTGAGGAAAAGTTTCCTGCCAGAGATGCGAGAAAAGCGGCTATAGCTGAGCTAAAGCTTAAAGCAGAGCGAAGTAAGACTATGTTTTAGTTTTTATTATATTTTTTAACCCATACTAATACATTAGCACATACTGAGACATATTTACAGCCACAATGGTAAAATATTGTGGCTCACAAGGTGATATGATATTTGGACAAAATGGCTGTTCTTAACATTTGGGTTGCCAACCCCTGCTCAAGAGTCATAAAGCATGGCTATTTGTTTCTACCAAACGAGTTCAGCTTTTTCAGCTTTTTTTGTTTCTCCATCCTAACCCACATAGGTTGTGAGAAAGTATCGTCAAGCCACATGACATACTTAGTGATATATTTACATATATAAGACCAAAGTTTGACAAACTTCTCTCCTGCTGTAGTACCATACCTCGAAATTCACATCCGAACAACAATTACAGGCACAAAACGGACCCTTAATCTTCAGGACTCCCTCTCTCTTCTCATTCTGAATTGTAAATTTGGGTAAGAAAGGGTGCCAGTTCTGAACCACATATCCAATTGGCGTGCCCGGTGGAGCCTGGACCTCAAGCTACAAAAAAAAAAAATCAGTTCAGTCACAGAAACAAACACAGAAAGACACCTGAAAAGAAACATGAGGACACTAAGATAGGGTACAGTTAATGCTTTGCAGGTTAAGAATGTGAGTTTCTCTCTCCACTGAGCTACATCTCTAGTTTTACATGCTTGTGCTTTTGAAAGCTTTAAATGGGTTTTATGGCAAATGGCAAGTCTCATGTTATTTGCCGTGCTGGAAAAAAAATCTTAGAAACCATTAAAAGTTTCTAGTGGTGTCCAATAGCCAGTAACAGTAGGCCTATTTTGTGTTCTTCTGATGGGTTGATCTGATTACAATCGGAAAGCTTAAGTACATTCTGATCATGTGTGTCGCGTCATGGCGAAAGTTTATACCGTTCAACATGGCGGTGCAGAAACTGGTCTGCAGAGGAGACGAAGTTTATGCTCTGATCTTTAAAAGATGGCGGTGGGACGGACGTCCAGCTCATGTGTCTCAGAACACGACGTCTTCCTCTCGGCCTTCTTTAATAAGGACATGTGAAGGACGTTTTCCTGAGTCTGACATCATTTTAAAGTAATTAAAAACACAAGCGCTGCTCACTGCTGCTCATCTCACTCTGACTGGACTCACATGATGCTCGTTGTCATGGTAACATCAACACTAAGCGGTTCTCTATGCATGTGCGAAGGTTTGGATCGGATTACTTGTAGTGAGCATATAAACTGAGAAAGAAACTCACTCACAAACTCTAAACTGTGAAAGACAACATAAAATAGTTTGAGGCAAGTGTGGGAAGATTTAGGCCTAAATTTGGTATGATTCTACAACCCCATTTCCAAAAAAGTTGGGATGCTGTGCAGAATGTAAATAAAAATAGGATGCAATGAAATGCAAATCATGTGAACCATATTTTTAAATGAAAATACTACATATAAAGGTAAACACAACATATACAATTTTGAAACTGAGAAATTGTATTGTTTTTTGAAAAATATATGTCCATTTTGAATTTGATGCCAACAGCACATTCTGAAAAAGTTGGGACGGGAGCACATTTACCACTGTTTCATCACCTCTTCTTTAAAAAAAACTGTAAGTATTTAGCTGTAGTTTAAAAGTGAAATGTTTTCCCGTTCTTGTTTAATATAGGATTTCAGCTGCTCAACAGTTCGGGGTCTCATTTGTCATATTTTTCATTTCATAACTCTCCAAATGTTTTCAGTGGTGACAGGTCTGGACTGCAGGCAGGGCAGTTTAGTACCTGGACTCTTTTACTATGGAGCCATGCTGTTGTAATACGTGCAGAATGTGGTTTGGTATTGTCTTGCTGAAATAATCAAGGCCTTCCCTGAAAAAGACGTCATCTGGATGGCAGCATATGTTGCCAAAACATGTATATATTGTTCAGCATTAATGGTGCCTTCACAGATGAGCACGTCACCCATGCCATGTGCACTAATGCACCCCTACACCATCATGAATACTGACTTTTAAACTGTGCATTGATAACAAGCTGAGTGTTCTTTAGCCCGGAGGACACAGTGTCCATGATTTCCAAAAAGAATTTCAAATTTTGATTTGTTGGACCAGGACACTTTTCCACTTTCCCTCAGTCCATTTTAAATGAACTCGGGCCCAGAAAATGTGGAAGCCATTCTGGATCCTGTTTATATTTGGTTTCTTTTTTGCATTTTAGAGTTTTAACTTGCATTTGTGGATGCAGCAACGGACTGTGTTCACACTTTTGTTGCCCTCGTCCCAACTTTTTTGGAACATGTTGTTGGCATCAAATTCAAAATTGGCATATAATTTTCAAAAAACAATAAAACATTTTAAAATAGTTTCAATATTTAATATGTTGTCTTTGTACTATTGTAAATGAAAAATTTAAAGGGTTTAAGTGTTTAAATTTAAATTGAAAAGGTTTAAATGATTTCCACATCATTGCATTTTGTTTTTATTTACATTTTGCACAGCGTCCCAACTTTTTTGGAAATGGGGTTGTAAGTAATGGTAATCTAAATGTTAATAGACCTCTATTACTATTTCCTTTGTTAATCCACCTTGTAGCTCCAGTTCAAAACAGTTTTGGCTGATCAAGTATATTTGGGATTAGGAGGAAAACTGTACATTTCTTTTTTCTGTCCTAACCATTCATATCATAGACCTACAAGACAACATTCAAACATGGACATGCAATACCTCTTGCAGGCAGCAGGGACAGCAGCAAGCACTGCATCTGTAAGGCCTTAAGAGAGTCATCACTTCCTGACCCATGTTGTCCTGCACATGGAGGACAAAGGAACGCATGGGTCCACAGAACTGCCTGTTGCAGCAGTTGTTCTCCTCCGCCACATAGAACACCTGCTGACCGACTGTGTTCTTCACCAAATACTTATTATTGGTCTCCCAGCCTAAAATAACTGTTAGCAAAACAAGAAGATGTTTGTTGTAGCCAAAAACCAGTGCACATCTAGAACATCGAACACCTACAAGAACCGTTATAGAGAGGCTAAAAAGTGGCAGTAACTATAGCAACAGTACAGCAACTGCATAAACTGCAGAGAAAGCGTGTAGCCATGCTAACTTTTTTCCAGCAAAATTTACTGAGAGAAAGACCATTTTTTCATTTTTTTTTTCAAATTTCTAGTTTAACAGAAGCTTAACAAGCAGCCAGTTGGATGTCAGTCAATTATGCCATTATCTTATTATTTTATTTATTTTTTTTTTTTACCAAAAATACCTGTTCCAATGCCCATCCGTTTTTTACATGCTTAACTTTTCAATATTTTATTCACATTTTATAGTCTTTTGGGTTTTTTTTTTAAATATGGTGCATTTTGCCTGTTCCAACTTGTCCGCAACCCTCAGAAAAACATAAAAACTAAAATACCATTTGATATAAAAATGTGTTCTAGTATCATATATTTGCTATATTGTTATTTTTATCCTTTTTCAAGACATGGCACATGGCCAAAAGTATGCGGACACTCTTTCTAATTAGTGGGTTTGGTTATTTCAGCCACACCCATTACTAAAACAGATCCATAAAATCAAGAGCTGTGCGATCTCCATAGACAAACTCTGGCAGTAGAAGTTTTCAGTGAGGCATTGTCATAAGAGGCCACCTTTCCAACAAGTCAGTTCATCACATTCCTGCCCTGCTAAAGCTGCCCCAGGCAACTGTAAGTGCTGTTACTGTTACTGGAATGTATAGGAGCAACAACAGCTCAGCCCAGGCTGCCAGGTGCCACAACATCAACACAAGAACTGTTTGACAGAAGCTACATACACTGGCTTTTCATGGAAAGCATGGCTGAGCAGCCACACACAAGCCTACAATCACTATGTGCAATGCCAAGTGCTGGCTGGAGTGGTGTAAAACACCACTGGGCTCTAGAGCAGTGGAAATGAATCAGTGGAAACAAGTTTAGCAGATGCAAGAGAATAATCTGCCATATTCATATTCATATGCAACAGTGGCATCCTATGACAGTACCACGCTCGAAATCAGTGAGCTCTTTAGAACAACCCATTCTTTCACAAACGAAACACAAAGGCAGGCTGCATGGCTAGGTGCTTGATTATATACACCTGTGGCAATGAGACTGAATGAACCACCTGAGCTCAGTGATTAAGAGGTGTGTCCCAATACTTTTGTCCATTATTTTTACTGAGAAAATGACAAAACATGTCATGTGAACATTTCAACTACATATGACCTTCAGTGTCCACATATTTGTGGGCATGTAGTTTATAACAAAGGGATGTAATTCCTATTTTGGGTGTTGACAACTGGGTTCCTGCTGTTAATATTAAAAATGAATCAAATAAAATCAATTAAAGAAATGCTTCCTCGCTGAAACGGGGGGTGTTTTCGTCAACTGGACTGACTTTTGTATTTGTTCTTGGTATTAGCCTTTGTGCTAGAGAGTTAATGCCACTTGCCAAATCCATGCTTGAGGTGAATGTCAACAAATGTAACAATGCTCACCCTCAGCCAACTCAATTTTCTGATGGACAAGGAGCTGGTCAATCTGGTCCACACAAAGAGAACGCAAGGTTAATGATTATGCAAGTCACAAGAACACCCACACATTTTACACAAGGAGTCAGGTGGTGTGATATTATTATATTTACTTTAAACGTGGTTCATATATTTTCTATAGGTTCAGAGTCTTAGTTAATCTAGGAGAAAGACTAAGGTAAACCCGCATTACAGACGGTGTTGACATTTGCTGAGTCATCACTGATCTAAATCTCCAGGCTTTATTTTCCATCCCAGCACTGTCAGAGGGACATACCATGACTCATGCTGGTCTGATAACACTCAAGCTCACCTGGGTCAGGTACTCTAGTCCAGGGGGACAGCCAGGGGGTCTCTGAGGGACAGGCATCATCACAGGTGCCTGAGGGGGCACATAACCTGAGAAAAAATGTAAATTAGATTACTGTTCAAAAGTAAAACATTCATTTTATTAAAATAGTAATAAATTAACAACAATCTTATGTAAATTGATTATTAGATTTAAATACATATAAATATATTGGACTCCAGAAGGTATTTCAATATGTTTCATTTAATATTTCTAAGATACTCAAGATGTTATTAAATAATTAATACTATACTGTATTGATCTACTTCTTGTCATATGATCTGCTTCAGGATACAGGCATTCTGGATATGAATTTTATTTTTTTAACTTTATTCTGGAAAGTAGTGTTATTAAAACTTCACTCTGAATGGTAATTTTATCAGAACTTTATTCTGAATATTAGTTTTATGAGAGCTTCATTCTGGATATTAATTTTATTAGAACTTCATTATCAATAATAATTTAAGTTAAATGGAAATTAATGTAGTAGAACTTTATTTTGGATATTAATTTTAGTAGAACTTCATTCTCAATATTAATTTCAGTGGAACTTCATTTTGGATATAAATTTTATTAGAACCTTATTTTGGATATTAATTTTAATAGAACTTCATTCTGAATATTAATTTTAGTAGAACTTCATTCTCAATATTAATTTTAGTGGAACTTAATTCTCAATGTTAATTTTATTAGAACTTAATTCTCAATATTAATTTTATTAGAACTCCATTTTCAATATTAATTTTATTAGAACTTCATTCTGGCATTCTGACTGTTAATTTGAATATAACTTCATTCTAGATATAATTTTCTCAGTTATGTTTAGCATGATCTACAACTCTGTTCATAATTCTAAACACATTTCATATATCTTACAATTTAAAGCTTCATGCTAAGTATATGAAAGCTGTGAAGTTTGATAAGCAGAAGTAGAAGTAGAATGATTCTATACATTTACCTACAACAAAATATATTTTCTATTATTAAAAAAAAATGAACAAAAAAACAGTTAATCCCCAAATTGTTTTGGGACAGAGAGTTCTAGGAAAAACCTTAAACTTCCACTTCAAGGGTTCTTTAGTAAAGACAATGGTTCTATATAAGAAGGCTTTGCATGATTAAAAGGTTCTTTGCATCATAAAAGAGTTCTTCAGATGGAGAACGTGCTGTAGATGGTTCTACATAGAACCTTCTTCTATTGTGTTAAACATGACATAATTACAAGTGAAGAACTCTTTTTGGTGCTATATGGAACCTTTTCCAAAAAGGTTCTATATAGAGCCATCTACAGCACAATCTGAAGAACCCTTTCATGTTGCCAAGAACCCTTGACTCATGCAAAGGGTTCTTTGAGCGTACATGGTTCTATACAGAAGCATTTTCTTTACTAAAGAACCCTTTTCGGCACCTTAATTTTAAGAGTGTATGTAATGTAACGTGCCTGGTGGGACTGGAACTTGGCCATAATTGGGAGCAGGGGAGACGTTGTTTTTCGTTGGCTGGAGATCAATGGCGTTACCTGTGAGATTAAACGTGTATGGGAATGAGTTAGACTGGACAAAGATGAAATATAACAGCACTATAAAAAAATTAATAATGCAGAGTTCCAATAATTAAAGCAAGAGTTCAGTGAAAATCAGATGTACACAAGTTTCCATTTACCCAGACGCAGTCAGCCAAAACATGTTTGGTGTCCAAATTTTGCTTCTTTAGTTTAGTGCTGGAGCTACAAGGCTAACATTGCTAACACTAGAAGTTAACAGTCACTCAAATCTTTCCTGTGCAAAAGTCAGAGACCACCATTCATTTGTATGATTTGCATTCAAAACGGCTATGAAGTACAAGTTTTTTATTTTTCAGTGTCCAGAAACAAGGCAGAACATTTTCTCAGAAACCTGATAACTTTTTTTTTCAGTATTCAGTGAGTCACTCTTTACTTTTATTACAGCTTCCATTCTTTTCAAGAGACTCACTTTCAGTTTCTCAAAGAAATCTGCAGCCATACCTCCAAAGTTCAGTCTTAGAAGTTGCTTGCAATTTCTGCTCCTTACAATCCAAGTAATCCTAACTACAAATACAGATTGGCTAGTTTCGGTGTGCTAGTAGTTTCTTTCTTTTTCTCTATTTCCTTTTCTCAGTGAGGGCTTCTCGACAGCTACACATCCTTTCAAACCCAACTTAGACATGTGTAAGCCTGATAACGTTCATGATTTCTGTTTTATTTATAACCATCTACTCTTTTAATGAACATTTCAGGAATCTTCTGAACGTAATCTAGCATCCATATGTCCATAATTTTTATAGTTCACAATAAGCCTTACTGTCCCTCTACATCACTCTAAGCAAGTCTGACTGACCTTCATAAAGATATGGATGCATTTTGATCATGTCGAGAGAAATTTTGTTGTTGGTAGCAGTGTTAGCCCCATAGCTCAAGCATGAAATTGAAAAAGCAAAAATCTGGAATCAAACATGTCTTGGCTGATCAGCTACTTTTGGAAAATCAATTAGAATTTTTGCCAAAACAATCTTACAAGTGCCTATTTGGTCTCTGTATGAAGCCTTGATTTGCAGACTACAGTATATCAGGTCTTCTGGTGTAGATCACTTAATCACCTTTACAGACTGTGGCAAAATCTGCTGTGAAAAAGTATTTGGTTTCCTCTGTTTTTGCATATTTGAAACTCTAAATGGTCTCACATCCTCAAACAAAATGTAAAATAAGACACAAAGAACATGAGAAAGCACAGAAAAAAATCCATCACCTATATGACCCATGTGAAAAAGTAATTGCCCTCCCTAAACCTAATAGGTGGTTGAGCCACCTCTACCAGCAACAACTTCAACCAAAACGCTACCAAATGTACTTCACGTCATTGTGGAGGAATTTTGGCCCACTCTTCTTTGCAGAATTTCTGTTACTCAGCAACACTGGAGGGCTTTTAAGCATGAACTGCCCGTTTAAGGTCCTGCCACAGCATCTCAGTGGGGTTCATTGTCTTGACACATAACCTTGTGTTTGGGATTCAGATCTCAGACCGATGACCAGACATTCTCCTGCAGTATTCTTGGCTCCATCAGTTATGGCAAAGTCAACCAGGCCCTGAAGCAACAAAGCATCCCCACACCATCACACTACCATCACCATGCTTCACTGTTGATATGATATTCTTGTTGTGAAATGCTCTGCTAGATTTACACCAGATGTAATGGAACTCCTGTCCAATCTTCCAAAAAGTTCCACTTTTGACTCTTCAGTCCATAAAACATTATTCCATAAGTCTTGGGGGACATCAAGGTGTTTTTTGGTTAATGCAAGACAAGCTTTTATGTTCCTCTTAGTTAGCAGATGTTTTCACCTTGCTGCTCTTCCATGGGTAAATTTTTGTCCAGTCTCTTTCCAATGGTGGAATCACGAATGATGACCTTATCGGAGGCATGCAAGGCCTGCAGTTCCTTAGATGTCCATCTGTGTTGTTTTGTGTCTTCGTGATTAAGTTGTCCCTGAGCTGTTGGAGACATATTAATGGGCTGGCCACTTCTAGAAAGATTCTCCACTGTTTCGCTGTCGTTCACTGGACACCCAGAGCCTTAGAAATAGTTATCAACTACAGAGCCAGATGTCTTTTTTCCTTCAATAAATGAAATGTTGATTAAAAAGTTGCATTTTGTTCTTTACTCAGTCTTGCATTTAATTTAGTTTGAGGATCTAAAACCCCTTCTATTCATTCTTGGTCAGGGGACAAATACTTTTTCACGGCACTGTATTATAGCCTATACTCATTACGGCCTATATTTAGGACTCTGATATTAAAGTTAATCCAGTTTATTTGCTAAGCACCAAGAAGTAGATATGGATGAGTCTTATCTACTATAAAAGTCCCTATAAACTCCAACTCCATAAAGTACTTAATGAAACAACGTAGATCAAGTTCAATTAGTTCCCTTCTCTGCAGCAATAGCAAAGCTGTAATATGTTCCTCTGAATTTTATTCCCAACAAACTGTTTCCTGTCGCCACAGATGGAGTTGTTAAATATTTGCTGAAGAACATTTCATTGCTCTTACCACTCGATGCCATGGCGTTTCACTGCAGTATCCTTTCTAAGGACAAAAGACCAGAAAAACGAGTCCTTCGAAATGTGATCTGATATGGAAGACAAAGAAACAGCATGTATGAAACGGCTGTCAATAAACATGTAAGTACAAGTGGCAGACGCTAAACAGGCAGGTATGTAATGTTGATTCGGTACACATGAGGGCTTAACTGGAGTTAATACCTTTCAACACCAATCACTTTCAGCTGAGGTTAAGATGCTTCTGAATGCTTTAAACACTTCCCATTCTGATGGCTCCTGTTTCTGGCAAGCCTATGACACCTGCACACTTTATCCTGTGACGTTCCAGGAAGAAGGAAAACGTCAATATGCCAATTTGTGCAGATTTGCATCAGCACTGCTTTGCTCAACAAGCTCTAACAGTGTTGGTGAGGCCACTGTGTAGGCATGAGAGATATAGGAGGAAAGGCTTTTAAAACGAGGCCTTTTACTACAGCACCAAAGAGCTGAGATATATACATATAGGCTGTCAAGAGACTGCTGGTTACTTTCCATCTTCACACAAACAAAGCTGTTGAGTAGAGTGTGAGTAACTTAAGGCCGGACGCTATAATGACTATAATTAAATCAGGACACTGATCATAAAAATCCAAGTCCAGAAAAGTTGGGACAGTAGATAAAATGCTAATTAAAACGGAAGAAAGTGATTTATACCTGAATTTGAATGAAAACAGTGCAAAGACAAGTAATATAATTTGTTTTATCTTTTCAACTAGGTTTATTCTGAAACTGATGCCTGCAGGATGTTAAAAAAAGATGGGATAGGGGCAATTTAAGACTAGGAACATTGGGACATGTTCAAAAAACATCTTACACAGGTGATGCATTCATGCTTAGGCATTAAAGAAACACCCAGGAAAGGCCTAGCCCAGGGGTCGCCAGCCCAAGTGTTAAAAAAGAGCCACTGTGTCCTGTTTCAACAAGTGTCAAACCACCCTGGGAGCCACAACATTTTATGTCAGTTTTATTGGTGTAATGTTTTAATATATAGCTCAGCTATAGCCGCTTTTCTCACATCTCTAGCAGGATACTCTTCCGCAAAAGTACAATGTTTTAATGTTTTAAATAACAAACTAGTTATCTTGTTATCTCGAGATAACAAAGTTGTTATCTTGAGATCACAAGACAATTAACTCGGTATCTCAGGATAACAATCCAGAAAATTATAGCAACAGTTCATGGCCTCCGGACTTCCATAAAAATGTCTCTCAACGTGTGACTTTTTGGTGGTTGCCAGTTTCTTGTTGCAAATTAAACATATGGGAAAACAAGCTGGAGTGCATATAAATGCAAATAACTCCGTCCATTTGTCTTTAAATTCTCAATGTTTGTCCTGAATATTTCTCTTATTTGCTATTTCGTTAGCTACTAGCTAGGCTAGATTGTTGTCTGTGACAAACAGTCTCAGCACCAGGATTAAAGGCTGGTGAATTAACAGTTATACATTAATTCCAGCTTTTAAGATAATTTATTGTTGTAACTGTGTTAGAAGTCTGTTTTAGAGCTCTAAGTAAAGCTTTATTTTAGTACAAGGCATTATTTTAATGCTAAGGAGGACTAATTTAGTTTTACCTAAAAATCTTAGGTAATATATATATATATACATATATATGACGTGCCATCAGAGAGGTTTCAGGAAATGGCTTCTTCTCTCCGTGCATGTCCAATAAACCTATAAAACTTTTTGAACTGATTGAAACTTTAATTGAAAAATTGACTGAACAACCACAACCGAATGGCATTGACCTTCGATGCCTCAGACAGCACAGCAGTAGAAACTGGCATGCTTCTGTGATGTATATCACACATGGGCTCAGGAATACTTTGACAAACTGTTGTCCATAAACACTGTTTAACAGGATGAACACTGTACTATACACAATGGAAGCTACTTGTGAACAACATCCGGAAACGCTGCCGATTTCTCTGGTCCCAAGCTCATCTGCAATGGACTAAAGCATAGTGGAAGTGTGTATTGTGGCCTGACAAGCCAATCTTTCAGATTGTTTATTGAAATAATGGACATTGTGGTCTCCAGGCCAAAGAAGAAAAGGAGCGTCCAGCATTAAGTTTGAAAGCCAGCTTCTGTCAAGGTCTGGTGGGGTTTACTGGGTGACTTGCACATCTGTGAAAGTGCCATTAACACTGAACATGTTTTGAAGTAACATATGCTGCCTTCCAGATGTCTTTTTCATGAATGTCTAAGCGGCACAGAAGTAAGCGAGGAGAGTAGCCCCATTATTTGCTGTTCAAGTGAACTTTTAATGAATGGTCATTCATAGTGCATTCCTTGGTTAAACAACCATCTAAGTAGCCTTTTTTTCCCAAGCAGTGGCCAGTTAATGGTGTTTTACTTTCTCGCACTGGATTTAGCTCATGAGATAGTTTTGTGTTTTAGAGCAGATTGTGTGTCCAGCTAAAAACTTTGTAAGGCTAGTTTTGGACCATATCTTGCGCTGGTAATCTTATCTGTAGAGTGTGTATGAATATTAATGCCCCTATATTTACACACCCTACAGAAACTGGCTTGACTGTAAAAATGCACATGCTGCTGCAGGCTTTATAATCTTAATACCAAACTATAAGTGTGGGATGTGGGGTTTAAGAGGGTGTCATGTACTTACATGCCCCCCTCACTTTTAAAAAGGCTTATAAGCCCATGGTGTTATTTACCAAAAGTTGCAGCATGCAGCCTGGTGGTTTGAAAAACTAGGCTTGGCTAGTCTTGTTTAACTTTTTTTTCGTCTTTTTTACTGAGGGGCCACATATTGCACTAATTTAGTGGAATGGTATATATGAAACCACCACTTTTTGGGGGGAAGTTATTTGCTTCAGGGCAGGGCAGCATTCCTCATCTGGCAGAAATTACCTCAAAACCTCCTGTATTAGTCTTTGCAGGTGTCCACGCTTACGAGTGCAGCTCATGCTACATGCCAACACCATGTTAGTATCACTTTTTTATACAAGAAGAAAATTGATTTTGACATATTGGGGAATGGACGGCAGGAGCTTCAGTCAGAAATACTGCTCAACTGGCTGCTATTCCAATAGCGCAGGGCTCGGCAACCCAAATGCTAAGAAGAGCCATTTTGTCCTTTCAACAAAAATCCAACCACCTTGGGAGCCACAACATTTTATGTCCATTTTACCATCTTGGCTGTAAATATGTCTCAGTATGTGCTGATGTACTAGTATAGATTAGAAAATATAATATACACGAAAACACAAACTTACTTTGCTCTGCTTTAAGCTTTAGCTCAGCTATAGCAGCTTTTCTCGCATCTCCGGCACGAAACTTTTTCTCAAAAGTAGAATAGTTTCTTGTAAAATGTCTCAATATTCAATATTTTTACACGACTGTTTGTTCAAATTATCCCGTTCCACCCTAAATGCACCAGAATTTAACTGCAGCACCTTTTAAGGTGGAATGAGAAAATTCGTACAAAAATTTGACAGCCTCTCGTTGCAGATTAAACATATCAGGAAACCAGCTGGAGTGCATATAAATCCAAATAAGTCCATTCGTCTCCAAATTATCGATGTTTGTGTTGTGCTTGACCGCTACAGGAAGGGAACCCGGTGGCTAAGTTATGCGGTGGTGGACATTTTGCTGGCATGGTTTGGATCCCCTTGGGTCCACCTTAGAGGGAAGGGTCACTGCAAATCTCTACAAAGATCCCCTTTATACTATAATGAGATACTTATATCCCTGTGATAGTGGTCTCTTCCAGGATTCACAGGGGTCACTGAATGGTTTGAAAAGTATGAATATGTTGTAAAAGTGCGACAGCCTTCGCAGTCATCAGATCTCAACCTGGTTGAACACCTACGGGAGATTTTAGACAGCACCTTCATCGAAACACCAATCTTTCTGAAAAATGGTGTTCCATTCCTCTAGTACAGTTCCAGACATGCAGAATCTATGTCAATTGAAGCTTTTCTGGTGGCTCATCGTAGCCCAACACCTTACATTGGGTTTTTCCTTTAGTTTGTCACCCATCTGTAAATACATAGAACTGTGTATAATGTAACTGGACTCTTCAATAGTGAACTACCAGGAAAGAGACACAATAGCATGTCTACAGTAAGCTTTATACAATATAGTGTAACATTATAAGTACAGCAAACAGCAAATCTCTTTTCATTGGCAGGTATCTCAACACCACAACACCACAGTTACATATGGTTGGTGAGGTGCTGCTAAAACTAGATGACTAAAGCTCTTTGCATAACTTCATGAAGACAAACTCTTTGACCTGTTTAATTCTCTATGCCTATTTAACACATGGACAGGTACTTTCACCAGGGCTACCGACGACAGGAGATAAGCATGGGAACTGATGCTTGCCCACATGTAACCTAACACTAATCTTGAAGCTAGTGTTGTTGGCCTAACACAGAAATTCCTCAGCAATTTTCCCGGATAGTGAACGTATCTGTAAAAGTTCTCGAAGTAAGGTCACTTAGGATTACCATTTTAAAAAAAAATCACTTAGATGACTTAATATTGCCTTATTACTGGTGGCCCACAAAGGCCAAGATTTTTATTAGGTCCAGACTCCAAATCTCATTACATTATAAAAGCTTTGTGTTCTTCACTCCTTGGTCACTGTGACAATAAACTAAGACTATGGAAACCCTGTGGATATTAACTCAATGAGGTGGTCTGAAGAACTTGGCACCCAAGAATTGAGTCTTATTTTCAACACTGTTGTCCAATATGGTCTTATGAAAACACACGTTTCCTGTCACAGCCCGTTTCTGACATTCCTAACATTCCTGACCTTGGTGTTACTTTATGACCTTACCACTGCACTGGTCGAAGAGTCACAAAATGAAAAAATGAAAGAAGAATTTTAGATTTTAGGTATTTTGGCATTTCTGAAACACCTTATGGCTTTTTCTACTACATCATACTAAGTCATAATGATATCTAGAACTGTACTGGAAATCCTATAAAAGTGTACCAAACAGGTCAAGTGACTTTGGTGTAACTTTTTCTGCTTGTTATCATTCGTACCATTTAGGAGAAATGTTCATTTTTTAAAAACTGATACATTTTCAGGGTAAAGCCTGTATGCTTAAATTTCACTTCCCCCCATTCATGGTTAAAAACAGACTCTGGACAAAGTTGGTCAACCTTTGTCATTTCTCAACTTGACAGCTGTAATGCTTTGTTCACAGGACTTGCTGCAAGTACAACTACAACCTACAAACAAGATCGTACTAGATCAGTTTTAGCTTGGCTTCACTGGCTGCCTGTTTCCTTCAGTCTACACAATTTTACTGCTAGTTTTCAATGGTTTAGCACCTTAATACCTTTCTGAGTGCTGATTGATGTTTTTCTAAATCGAGCTTAAGATCATCTAATGCTGCCTTCTCTATATTCCACGTATGAAACCTAAAAAGAGCGGAGAGTCAGTGTTTTGTTTTTAGGCACCAAATATCTGGAACATATTACCAATAAATATCCATCAGGTTCCTTCTGTCAGTGTTTGTTTAAAAAAAAAACAGATAAAAACATATTTCTTTACTTTAGCGTTTAACTAGATTTGTATAGTTTTCTTAATTTTTGCTGGAATATTACTGTTTACTTTTACTTTCTTGTTAGTTGCATTTTTATTGTATTTTTATATTTATTTATACTTTTATCTTGCGCTTTTTAATGTTAATTATTATTAATATAATCCCCATTTCTGCTATTTATTATTTGTTTATTTTTATTTTTGATCATCTTTTTTCTCCTTTTCCTCTGTTCATGGTAACCAATATGTTGCCTGATGCCTGATGTTTTTGGCCTAAAATGTACTTGTGACAGTCCCTACCTAAAATGTATTTTTTCAGGTCTATGCCTATTGAACCATCATCAACATTACATATAAAAACTCAGAAGACTCGTGTAGGTTCACTGATGCTTCTGGATAGTAAATCAAATGGCTATATCTGTGTTGTAGTCATTGCGACCCCTGGTTCCCATCACCACCACTGTAAAGAAGTTAGTTTCTCCACCATCTCACATTAAAGCCCTCTGAATGCCTTTCAACAATTTATGGAAAAATGTTGGAAAATCAGTGAAAATTACACCTTAATACAAGATTAAAGAGCTTGTAAGAATGGCTTTGAAGTGGAGAAGCTTGCTGGAGAACAGTAGGTGAAGCAACAAAGGTTTCAGGCAGTTTGTGTACTAATCTGCCAAATATCTGATTGGCCCACTGCTTTTTCCCCCCAAAACAATGGTATTATTTACATACCGTAGGGTCTGTGCTGTGACTGCGATGCCAGTACCAAGTTTTTTCCGGATTCCTTTCAGTCTTGACGTTGTCTCTGACAACTAAGGTTTATTTATGGAGGAACCTGGGGGACTGAACAAGCAGGACGATTATGTGATGAAGCTTGTCTGTGCCTGTCTGCGCTCCCTCCGTCCAAACTCTCGTTGATCTCTCCCCCTGAGCGCTGAACTCTCCTTTTCCCCTCAACTCTCACACACTCACTCTCTCACACACACAGTCTGTAGAGATGTTGAAGCCCCGCCCACCGGAGGAGGGGAGAGAAGATAGGTATGTTTGAGTTATATATTGCCTTAGTACATTTCTGTGATCATGACATTGTGTTTTTATAGAAAAAATGGTAACACTTTCTATGAATGTCACCTTTGTAAGCATCTATAAACACATTATAACATGTTATAATGCATTGATAAGACATTATAAACATAGCTATAAATATTTATAAAAATGCATTATACATTATAGCCATGTTTATTATGCATTATGAATTGTTAACATAATAAATTATAAGTACTGATCATAACAAATTATAAGAGCTTATAAGTGGTATTTTACCACTCTAAGTAAAGTGAAGCGTACTGTACTAAAGCCTCCTCCGGTGTTAAGAGTGAGGCTTCAAGTTGAAGTATTTACTGAAGGATTTACTGAAACACTAAAACATACACAGTAAAGCTCATTACAGGCTTCAAATGTCAGAGTTTAAACTAGTGCTGCCATCAGTGTTTTACCCAATGTGGGAAAGGTAATGTACACCACCGTTAGCTTGGTATTTGTCTTTACTTTACACTCTCCGAGCTGGGACTGACTTCTTTGGCACCGACATTATAACATGTTATTAACATTATTTATAATGCATTATATTAACAATTCATAATGTATAATAAACATGGCTATAAAGTATAATTCAGTGTAATTCTTTTTTATAAATATTTATAACCATGTTTATAATGCCTTATGAATACATTATAACATGTTATAAATGTGTTTATAAATGCTTACAAAGGTGAAAGTGTTACTGAAAAAATTAATCTACTTTACTGTTTACTGATGACTGTTCATTATGTATAGTACTGTGTACAGTACTGTGCAAAATCAGGGACCACATATCATTTATTGAGTTTCCAGTCAAAAAGTAAAAATTATTCATTTTCAGCATAAGGAAAAAAGCAGACAACATATTAAACAGCAAATAACACCAAAGTCTCAACAATTACACAACGTTTTTTCAGTACATAGTGTTTCCATTCTTTTCTATAGACTTCCTTTGTTTTTCAAAGACGTATGCAGGGATATTTTTCCACACCTCCAAAGTTCATTCTTAGAAGTTGGTTGCACTTTGTGCTTCTCACGATCCAAGTAGTGCCAAACACAATCAGTGACGTTGGACTCTGGACTCTGGGGTGGTCCGGGGTGATCATATCTCAAAGAGGAAATCCTTAAGTGCTGTTTATCTGACGGAGAAACGTTTGGAGGTCTGTTAGGTCTTGCAGTGTTAGTCCTATTTTCTCAATTTTTGGAAACTTTTTCACGTATTTTCCTTTGACTTTCTCCTTCTGTCTTCTATCTTCTATCTAATCCTCGGAAACATCTCCTGAAAAATGAATAACTTGTACTAATGTGCGTTTTGAATAAAAGAAGGGTGCTCTCTGATGTTTCAACAGTACTGTACATCTGCCAGATCATTTTGATCCTTTCTGCCTCCCTTGCTATGTTTCCTCTTATGCTTTCCATTAATGGGACGTTCAATTCAGAACCGCCTTTTCAACCTGTTCATTTCAATGATTTATTTTCCCATGGGGTGTGACGTGCATTGTGCTCTTGAAGATCAGTCAAGACAAGGCTAGTTTGTTCTCATCCCCTTTATATAAAAGGTCTTCCTAAATGCATGTACATGGTAAACATCATGGAAACAGTGGCTCTAGACCACTTTTATAGCAGGGTCCCTGTGGGCCGTAGAATCCGGCTGTGATGTAATTTGACTCGTGACTAAAAGTAATAGAGCTAATAATAGAATAATAGCGTTGTAGTAAAAGTTATAGAGCGTAAACTTTTCATCTTGGGGGGCCAAAGTATAACGTTTGTGGTAGGCCAAGGAGCAAAAAAACTTTATCCTTATCTCTGGAAAACTTTTTATTCCACAGATAAGGAAACTATGGGAGGTCAAGCTTAAAGATGCGTGCCTTGTTGAGTGCAAAGGCTTTCAGATGTCATCAGTGGATGTGAAAAAACGTATTTTGTATGTGTGTAATTATGAAAAGTGATTCAAATATTAAATTGTAGAACATTTGTGGCATCTTTTAGGCCAAATCAGATGGCCTTGAGTGCCAAATTTGGTCTGTGGGTCTAATTTTGGCAGCCCTGTTATAGAGAAAAATTGTTTTTATAAAATTGAAGGGAAAAAAATACAATAATATTTATAGTATTTGTAACAAAGATAGATTCATAAATAACCGATTACTCAGAATAATTTGTAATCAATAACACTTTTGCATTTAAAGTTGCACAAAGCTAAAGGTAAAGATATTGTATTTATTACATATAGTTTAGTTTGAAAAAGTAGTTAAACGAGAAAATTACATTTTAAGTTAGCAAGTTAAATCGTTTGGTTTACCCTGTTTTTTTTTTTTTGTACCAGCTGCACACCACAAGTCTTTTTGCTGTTGTTGCAAGCATCGTGCTACTAGAATCACGCACACTTCCAGAGTGTTTTCATTCATGAAAACACAGAAACTTTCCACTTTACGGAATGTAGAGTTCTACTTCTTGTGGCGTTAAAAGTCAGTTTGAACCTAAAATGAGAAAATCTGTTTCCCGATTCGTCAAAAGAAGCAACACATGATAATCAAACCTATCCAGGATTGACAGCCTAAGAACCTGTCAATTACCAGCTTCAGCTGGGGGGACCCAAACACATTTCTGGAGGGGCAGTGGCCACTCCAGCCACACCACTACATAGAAGGAAGATGACAGCTAAAGCCTACAGACAAATGAGGTTATTTCAAATATATTATAATGTGGTATTTAATGTATGACTTCCTATAGTATGGTTTAAAGTACAAGATTACACATGAAAGATTTGGATTTTATGAGAGGCAGTGTTTAATATGCCAATTAGGTATCAAAATTGTGACATATCATTACATTGGATCTTCTCACATCTTCTCTTTCACTTCTCATTGCTCGCTAGCAGCTCAACACAAACTTACAACATGTAACAAACAGAGATACATTAACAAGATGCAGATCTACAGAATCTACACCCTTCATGATCTGGATTAGGCGTGTTGGACAGCTTATGGTGGGCAGCAGGTCTCCAAGAGCAAGACGTTGGACTCTAATATAAACACAGGACACATTAGAAAGTTTTTCACCCATCTGTGCACTGACAATTCTATCTACTGCAAAAGGCACCTGCCTTAACTTTTCTGTGGTTTTCTCATTTGCATATTTTGCAAATGAAAAAGGTGGACACTGCAAAATGGGTTATTTGCTTAACAGCAAACATGGATTGACTCTATCACCCTGTTTATATTGTGTGTATTGTACCTTGCACTTTTTTCCACTGAAGGAGCAGAGACTGTGCATTATCTAGCTAGTAAATTGTATATATCTTATTTCATGTGAATACTGTACCATTTATTGTTGAAGTGTATATGTATTGTAGCACTGCATTGCATTATTCAACAGTTTAACATGTGCCATTTTATCCCACATGGCCTCCTACATTTATTATTCTGAATGTAGTACTACAGCTGGCTACACTGTATATTCATAATGTAGTGTTATTACAGCCTTATTACTCATTATATGCCTCATTCCTTACTGCTAGTAACCTGTGTGGTTTGGTGCCACTTCTTCATTTATTGTTATTTGTTGTCTGCTGTACTTGTCTAGTATACATTTCATTGTACTTTTGAATGCCCTGTATTCTGAATGCATATGACAATAAGCCAAATCTTGAATCTTCTCCGAAAAATGTGTGAAGATGTTTCCTGGTTTTCTGTCTTGTTGCTTCTGATTGACACATGAGAGACACATGGATGCCAGTTATAAAAGTCATCACTTTGCCAAAGCAAAGCCCAAAGAGGTGAGTACACAGAACAGGTGATGCTGAACCGCGGGACGATGGCACAAAATGGGCCCTAAGCATAATTTATTTGGGCAGCCTCCACATCTAGCTAGTTGTGCTGTACAATTAGAGGCTAACTGATAACGATGGCTACCACAAGCTGTCTAAATCATATACATTTTTAACTGGCCGTCATAAAATGTGTCTGTTTGTGTGGCTTTGTGAAGCTGAAACTTGAAGTTGAGGCCTGTCTTAGCTGAACCTGCTCAACTGCTTAACTGATCAATGACATGTTGTCCAATTACAAGCCAAAACAAATGGCATAACATTAACACCCCAGAAACACAAAACACACCTTTAAACTATCTTCTCTTTTTTGGGCTCCAGATGCATACGTTCTTTTTTAAACAGTTGCTTTTTTCCCCTCTCACTCCAGCATGTTAGACAACTGATAGTACAGTAACAACCCACTAGGACCCTCTAGTGGCCACGGTGCTCTAAGCAGCTGCTTATGTTGCTTATTATGTAGAGCCAGAACTGGCACCAGGTTTGCTAACTGATCACAAAGAGCACATTGATGTGTCTTAAGGTCAAGCCTGCAGCTGAGGTAGGAGAGACCAGGTACAAGTATGAGATTCCAAAAATAAATATGATAATAGCTGGTTTAGTCAAAAGCATCCAGGTCACCTCACTGTCCATCAGGTATTCTGATTTGAGATACGGCAGTTTATTATATTTTGTTCTTGTGTTCTTATTTAATCAGTTTGTTAACCAGTGATAAACCTTGAGTATTAGTGCAATTTTTTATTTCTACTATAATATTGTGATACTTTAAATGTGTTTTATTCAGTTCTGGGAAACATTTACAGTACAGGCAGAATATACAGTGTCAAACATCTTATTGTATGGCATCTACTATAACAACATTGTAATACATATCAAAATGTATAATTATTGTAAAACTAAGTTGCTAAAAGTACTTTCCTAAAGCCGCAAAGGACCATCATCATATCTGCAATTCAACTGTTTTTATTTAAGTTTTGTTTTCCATTATTTAGATGTTAAATGATTCATTGCTTCATTTAAATATGCGAAGCAGGTTAAATGCTACAAGTTTAGATTTAACTAGTGATTAAGTTAGTTAACATCAGCCTAGTAAGCTAACACTAGCTATCTAACAGCATGCCAGCTTATTTACCACGATTTTGCCAACATAAAATAAAGCACAGGATGTTCAAATGACTTCATTAACATTTGAATTATTTTAATGTAAAAACTTTCTCATTGTTTGTCTCTGCTATGATAATGCTAATTTCAGCTGGCTATGGGATTCAGTCTCTATGGGATTTGCAGTATTGTGGTATTGCTAAGCTAATGGTTTTATATTCACCTTCCCACATAGAGCTTAGGCTGTAGCTTACCCCCTTAAAATCCCAGGCGTATTACATACTAATGCTTATTATTCAGTAACCACAAGGACCCCAATACTGAGCTGCACTATTCTTAGGTTATAGAAGTGTGTAATAAACTTTGGGCTGATGGGGCTTGACCATTTAAGGGGTTAAGGACTGAAATTTGGAGAGTTTAGGACAAGCATGTTACATATTTCTTGCTTTATTTATTGTAGTTTTTAAGTGGATCCTTTGGTAAATAATTCACCTTAAAGCCTTACTTTGAGTGTTATTAGAGATGTACTAGTGAACTAGACGAACTAGACGTATTAAGTCAGTACTTACAGAGATTAAATACAACAAGCATGGTGACAATATTAAAGAAAAATTACAGACATATTTTTGATTTCATAGAAATCACTCTCCTCTGAAGACCCAGGAGACCCTGAGGGCTCATGATGTGGTTAAGTGTTGTTTTTAATTCACCAATGCTTGATTTGTCCTTTGTGTTGAGCTATGCTGCAGACCGAATGTCCTATGTGGACAATAAAGAACGACCTGAGAATTGAGAGCTCTCAAGTCGGCTTGTTCCACTAGGCGATAAGGGAACGCGCACCAGGAGTGATGATAAGTGAGCTGGAAAAACTGATTAACTTCTTCTTGCCACTTTCTAAATATACTTCTTGCTCAGCCAGTGTAATCCAGAAGACAGAGAAATCATTTTAGCTTCCACTCTTGAAAGTAAAGGTTCCTAAATGATTCCTGACTTGGACGTACAGTTCTAGGAAACTTCTTTAACTGGTATAGAACAATTGCATTACGTGGAGGGTCTTTAAACTTTAAAAAGGTTCTTCAGACTCACACATCCCAATAACAAAAGAGAATTCGAAAGGTTTTTTTGGGAACTAAAAGTGGTTTTACTATGGCATTACTGTAAAGATCCCTTTTTAGCACCTTTATTTTAAAAGTGTTGGTTGATTGACCAAAAAAAAGGTCATATGAAGACCACCAAAGAAAGCCCCCCCAAAGAAACACTTCTAAAACCAAAACTACACCCTACAGCCAGCAGATCAAAGACAAACAATTTTTTTTTCAATTTATTTTAAAAATTTCAGCATAATTCAATGTTTGAGATGTAAACAAGTTCATTCAGAGACGTTTGATGTGAAGTAGTTTACTGTACAGCACAATAACTGGATTTCTTTACAGTGGTGGTGATCAGAACCAGGGGTCACCATGTCTACAACACAAATATAGACATTTTATTTACTATCCGAAACCACCAGCGAACCTTCAAGTTTCTTCTGAGAGGCCGATTTAGAAAATTTTACTGGGGTGGCTAAAGGGTGGCAAGTAGTTTCGACAGGGTGGCAATGTTTACAGATGTTCTTGTCGTTCCAGCGATAGCAAAACAACTCTACCCTTAATGGCAAAGCAGGGCAGACCAGACATACTCACACTGCTAATATGGGACTAGGGGTTGGGGATGGGGGTTGGGGTTGGGGATGGGGGTTGGGGGAGGTGGGGAGTTGTTCCACCGATAGCAAAAACCCGCCCCACAGCGAGGTGAAAGCCAATGACATGGCAGAAATTTGGGGTAGCATCTGGGATAGTGAATCAGATGTTAGGGAAGGCACTGGCCACTCCAGCCACCCCTTTAAAACCGTGCATGTGTCTTCTGGGTTTTATATGTAATGATGGTAGAATAGTGGTGAATATATAAAAGAAGTTTTCTTTGGGGACTATTTGCCTTACAACACCCTGCTTGTATCCTTCCACCACAAATGGATTTGCAAAAAGACGTTTGGCCAAAAATCTTATCACAAAACTAAGAAATCTGTAATTATTTTGGGTAATAACTTTCAGTGAGGGAGCATTTAGAGGCATCAAACTCTTCAGCCGTCTGGTTCCTATCACCACCACTGTGAACAAGCCTAACATGACTCCTCTCCTTCTTCTGAGAGACATGCTGGTTGTCGCTGTGCCTCTTTGACATGGAGTCACACCTACAGGATCACTGATGAAGCAGGCAGACTGAGCAGCAGCAGGGTGCCATGGTGACCATACCCTGGTGGGATGTCCCAAGAGCTTAGTGCACATCTAATTAAGTCCTGAGAGATGGCTGAACTTGAGATCATGCGGAGGACGTATGCATAGGGTTCGCCTTCCTAGATTAGCAGTACTGCGAAATAAGAACAGCTTTGGGAGATGATTCATAGAGAGAAGTACATCTACATCAAAATAAAACTTTTAGATGAATTATTTCTGACCCCCAGCTCATTAAAACAAGGGAATACATGCTTTCAATCCATACTACATTTGCATTTGTAAGTAGAAGAGAAGATATTTTATTATTATGATAAGAATTTAACATGAGGAAAGCAGGAAAAACAACCCTATAAGTGAAACAAAGTGCAGCCATTCACATTCGTACACATATGCATTGTGTAGTTATGACACTGATGGGCTACAATGCAGTAATAGTGTTTCTTGTACGGGACTGTGCCAAAATCAGAGACCACCCTTCATCTACTCCAGTCAAAATGGCCATTAAGTATAAGCTATTCAATTTACAATGTTAGGAAAAAGGTCACATAACATACATATAATGATACAAAGTCAAATATTTTAGTATATACATTTTCTCCTGTTTATCTGATGGGGCCAGTTTTGGTGTCTACCAGGTCTTCCAGGTAGTTGTTAGGAGTCACATTTTCTCTGTAGCTTTTAATCATTTTTCAAACTCCAGTTTTGGAAACTCTTGTTTTTTTCCCCACTTACTTTCCTTTGACTTTCCCCTTCCTTATGCACGTGGATTATCGTATATCTAAACTATTCAGAAAAAAAGTAAAGAGTGGACAAACTAAACAATGAGCGTGTTTACATGTATTTAATAATCTGATCATAATCGGCTTTCTGCAGTTATCTGATTATTCAAACTCACACTCTGATTGCTTAGATCGGAGTAAGGTCTAGAAATCTGATTAAGAAATCCGATAAAGAGGCTGGATTTTAGCTCAGTAATCAGATTTCTCAGTGCATGTGAGCTCTTACTCTGATTTCTTTCGGATTTCACAGTCTGCGCATGTGCGAAACAGATGGCGGTACCAGACATAAGCGAGCATCGTCGCCTCGAGACACAGCAAAAAACTTTTGTAGCGATGCTAAAACCAAATACATTCTTGGTGAAATGAAGGATTGAAATATTCTTCATCTTCTAGACAATGTATGTTCATATTTTCAGGTAAAGTGGCTCAATGTTTTAAAAAAAAAGCCGCAACACGAAGTTTAAATTTTTACATTCCGTGTAGACCTGGAGTTTTCCCATTATCTGATTACTCAAGTGCACGTAAACATCTTGATCGGATTAGTGATCAGATCTGATTTTCTGCAGTTATCGGATTATTAAGTGCATGTAAATGCACTCAATGATCAATTTGATATTGTCATTAGTGTTGGAGAATTTTGTGCAATTTTCTGTGAAATATGTTTTCTGCCTTTTTTCTGACACTGAAAAATTAATAACTTGCACTTAAAGGCCATTTTGACTGTAAATTAAATAAACAAAAGGGTGAGTTTTGTACTGTATAGTATAGAAAAATGCATGTTCATGAGTCAAAAAGCCCTGCAGGTGCACATATAACTATTATAAAATGGACAAATGTTTAATAATGATGTGAATCTTGCTTTGGTGAACTTTCAAAGTACATAAAATCCTGTAAAAAGACAAAAAACAAGCATTATTTTCTGCTGGTTTACATGTAAACTAATATGCTAACTAACAAAATGTTACCAAACAGAAAACTTACAATGAGGAAACAGGCGCCTAATATAACAGCCTTGACTTTGACATCCAGGTCCATGGGAAACCGCACGCCAAAATTATCTGCGTCTGTTAACATCTCCGCCTCCATGCCTGTCCACTGTTTGCTTATCCTGCCAACTACTGAGGCTTCATCCAGGGACATCACCTATCACCACACAAATAACCATCAGGTTAATGGATGTTATTTTGTCATGGGAGACGTTAGTGAGTCACTTATCCTGCCTTCAAGTTGGGTCAGAAATATCGTATTTATGCGATGGCTGTGCATGAATTAGAGACGCACCGATACCACTTTCCCTTCCGATACCGATACCTGATCCTTTAGTATCGGCCGATACTGAGTACCCATACCGATACTAACTCTGTCCAACTCACATATAACCTTTCCATGATTAAAGGGTTCTTTGCATTGTGAAAGGGTTCTTCAGACTGATGGAGAATGTGCTGTAGACAATTCTATATAGAACCTTTTTGAAAAGGGTTCTACATAGCACCAAAAAGGGGTCTACCCTTTTTAGTGCTTTTCCAAAAGGTTCTACATAGAACCATGTACAGACAGTTCTATATAGAACCTTTTTAAAGAAAAGGGTTCTGTGTAAAACCATGAACACTCAAAGAACTCTGCATGATTAAATTGTTCTTTGCATCGTGAAAGTGTTCTTGAGATTGATGTAGGATCTGCTGTAGTTGGTGCTATACAGAACCTTTTTGAAAAGGGTTCTATTTAAACCATGAACACTCCAAGAACTCTCTGCATGACTAAAGGGCTCTTTGCACCGTGAAAGCGTTCTTCAGATTGATGGAGTATGTGCTGTGGACGATTCTATGTAGAACCTTTTTGAAAAAGGTTCTACATAGCACCAAAAGGTTTCTATTGTTACAATGTCAGGCTTGATACAATAGCAGAACCCTTTTTAGTGCTTTTCAAAAAGCTTTTGAAACCATGTACAGCACATTCTCCATCAATCTGAAGAAACCTTTTACAATGCAGAGAACCTTTTAATCATGAATAAGGGTTCTTAGAGTATTCATGGTGCTACCTAGAACCATTTTCTTTATTAAAGAACCCTTGAAGAGCCATCATTTTTAAGTGTGTAGTGGTTCTAACTGGCCAAACCATTACTCATCTCATAAGAATTCACTGCTTATCATTTTGTTGCAATAACATAAAATAAACAGACTCTTTGATGAAAGAAACAGTAAAAAAGCCTTATGTCCAGCTTGTCAATCTCGTCCCCGACCATAACCACTTAAATCAAGTCGTACTTCCGACCTCTGATGTCATAAGCAGGAACTTTCGAGGAAGACTAGAAGGCAGCATTTATATCATGCTGCTTCTGGCAAACTGTCTCTGTGGTTTTGGGCACCAGCCAGTTAACACTTGTAACACTAATGCTATTAAAATGATGCCTGCTGTGCTGCTGGCACTGTGCAATGATATCAGCATAGGAGTTTATAATACACATTTACGGACTAATTTAAAGACACTGTGCACTCAGAACATGTTTTATTAAATGGATAACCTGTCTTGGATGGATTATTGAATATGTATTTGTGTCAAATGCTGGTTGGCCATGCTGGGTGACCAGCTAAACCTGAGTTTACAACCTTTAACATGACCTTGCTAAACTTGCAGCGGCTCTGAAGATCTATGTGCTTCTTAACACAACAAAGAAAAAGCAGGATAGATGTTCTCCGAACCTCTAAGCTGTCTTTTTCCATGCATCTGTGAATATGAACGAGCATCCGAACAGAGTTTAGTCGTATTACCTACACACTTAAAACAGATGGCTCTTCAAGTTCTATTTAGAGCCATGAACACTCATTTGCATGCTTGGTTCTTTGCATGGTGAAATGGTTCTTCAATGGTTGATAAGGAATGTGTTGTATACAGTTCTATATAGAACCTCTTAAAAATGGTTCTATATAGCACCAAAAATGGTTCTTCTACTGTTTTGATGTTAAGCTTGTAGCAATAGAAGAACCATTTCTGGTATTATATAGAACCATTTTCAAAAAAGGTTCGAGGCTCAAGATTCAAGGTTCAAGAGTTCTTTAGTAAAGATAATGGTTCTATTTAGAACTATGAGTTCTATATAGAACAATTTCATGCTTAAATGGTTCTCTGCATGGTGGAATTGTTCTTCAGATTGATAAAGAATGTGTTGTATATGGTTCTATATAGAATCTTTTTGAAAATGGTTCCATCTAGCGCTCTGTTGCTATGATGTCAAGCTTGTAACAATAGAAGAACCCTTTTTGGTGCTATAGAGAACCATTTTCAAGAAGGCTCTATATAGAACCATATATGCATTTGAGCTGTCCTACACACTTGAAAAAAAGAAAGCGTTCTTCAGGGGTCTTTAGTAAAGGAAATGGTTCTATTTAGAACATTAGAGAATGTTTTTTTTTGCATGGTGGAATGGTTCTTCAGATTGATGGAGAATGTGTTGTATATGGTTCTATATAGAGCCTTCTTGAAAATGGTTCTCTATAGCACCAAAAAGAGTTCTTCTATTGTTACAAGCTTGACATCATAACAATAGCAGAACCCTTTTTGGTGCTATATAGAACCATTTTCAAGAAAGGTTCCAGGTTATATAGAACCATACATGCACTTAAGCTGTCCTACACCAAAGGGTACACTCTTCAAGGGTTCTTTAGTAAAGGGAATGAACCATGAGTTCTATATAAAACCATTTCATGCTTAAATGGTTCTTTGCATGGTGTTCTTCAGATTGATGGAGACTGTGTTGTATATGGTTCTAAACAGAACCTTCTTAAAAAATCGTTTGATATAGCACCAAAAATCGTTCCTCTCTTATTACAAGCTTGACATTGTAACAATAGCAGAACCCTTTTTGGTGCTATATAGAGTCATTTTCAAAAATATACAACGCATTCTCCATCAATCTAAAGAACTATTTCACCATGCAAAGAACCGTTTAAGCATGAAATGGTTCTACATAGAACCCATGGTTCTAAATAGAACAATTCCCTTTACTAATCAGCCCTTAAATAGCCTTCTTTTTTAAGTGTAGTTGAGCTGTCCTAGTAGCAGTTAGCTCAGCATTCTACAGCTTCAAATACCCCAGCACAGGCTCACTAAATCTTCACTGATGTGAGTTTAGAGGATAAAGACTCACATTTCAGGGAGCGAACCTGTTTTTGTGTGTGGAGCCTTTAGCTAAGCTACTCTTGTTAGCACTCTAGGTTAGCATTAGATTAGCAAGCAAACCAAAACAGTTTTGCAAACACATTAATTTTTGGTTCAAATGGTCCACTGAGGTAAGTTTAGAGGTTAAAGACTCAAAACTTGGTATGATTGGTCTGAATCTGAAAGACAGACAGACAGCATCTAACCTGTTCTGTGGTGTGCTTCATTTCCCAGCATGCATGCAGAGATCACGTCTAAACAACTTCCCTCGGACTCGGAAACCGAAACGGACTCCATTGCCCACAATCCTTCAGGAGATCACATGACATCAGACAATCGCACACGCACTTATCAGCGCTCCCGATCGCCAGAATACTAATGTTGTGCACCTGTGTATCCTGTCATATGACCATATTAGTTTAGTATATAAGCCCAGGGTTTAGATGTAGACATTGCGAGGTATTGTTTATTCCAGAAACTTACTGAGCGTTATATTCTGATTTTGTCTTTGCCTGTCATGACCTGTTCTTTGTTTCCCTGACCCTGTTTTTGCTTAACCCCTTTGTACTGCTGCCTATCATTTGTGGATCTGTGTTTTTGACCTTTTGGCTTGTTTTTTGACCACGATTTTTGCTTATTCCCTTTGTTCTCATCTGCCTGGTATTATTATCACGACTGTGATCTGGCTGGCTTTTTTGGATTTGACCCACGGCTTTGCCTGACGATAATAAAACGACCGTTGCACCTTTTATCCGCGAGCATCTGAATTCTGTTGACTCGTCACACAAGGCCTGAAATATATTTTAAATGTTAAATATTTATATACTTGTATTTTGGACAAATATTACAAACAATAGAGAAAATATATAACAGGCCTAATAAAAATGATTGTGTTACAATGTTGTTGCTGACACTGTTAAAAGCTGTATAACCAGCTTTATTTATGACATTGCTGTTAAAATTATTTGCTAAAGTAATTTATAAAGAAGAACAAAGGATGGAAATGAAGGAAAAATAAGTAAATTAAACTGTGAGTGGAAAATGAGCACTAAGTGTGGTCTAATATTCCACTTAACTACCAGTGGGCCACCCGGAAAACGCTCAGAAAAAGCCAGTGGGGCCGCCAGTCTTGCCATCACCGGGCCAACAGTGGTCCACTATCTTCTTACTATGTGGCATGTAAAGGGCTGTCATTTTCAAATTATGTTAAAAAGATAGAAGTAAAGATGTGAGCCATTGATGATTTACTGTACCTCAAAATTCACATCAGAACAGCAGTTACAGTCACAGAAAGGTCCCACTATCTTCAGCACTGCTTCTCTTCTTTCATTCTTAATGGTGAACTTGGGCAGATAAGGGTGCCAGTTCTGCATCACATATCCAACAGGGCTGCCAGGAGGAGCCTGAACCTCAAGCTGAAATACAGAAAGCAACCTAACAAGCTTCAAGAAGCCATTAAAAGTGTTATCAGTTCAATATTTTGTACTAAAATGACAAAAACAATTAAATAGAGGTGGCATATTTAGGGCTGCACCTGAGTTCCAACATGCTATAGCTAACTAGCCTAATTTCATTAAATGTATGGTATGTGTTGGAAAACAGAACATTGTATGGAGCGGGAGAACATTTCAGTGATGTTGACTACAGTGTGGTTAATTTAATGTCATACTGATGGAGCTATTCAATAATTAAGTGGTAAGCCTACAGAATAATGCCGTCCAGTCGTTCCAATCAATACAAAAGTAGCAATTGTGCATTCTGCACGTGTTCCAACAGCATGGCCGCGTAATCAGAGAGCTCGGGTGCTAGACTGACCTTCCTGGAGTCCAGACCTGTCTCCCATTTGAAAATGTGTATTATTAAGCTCGAAAGATGACAATGAAGGTCCTGTACGGTTGCACAGCTAAAGTCTTGTAACTCCTGAATAGACTTAGAGGAAGATTATTGCTAAAACGACAGATGTAATAGACTATTCTTCACAGCCTCTCAGTCTGGAAATAAGGAAAGTTTTAAAAATTACATGGAAGAGCCTGCCCTGTTACACATGTAGCCAAAGTTCAGGAAATTGAATCTCACAGCTAATGCAAATAGCTTATCTTTGGCTATCAATTTCCTTGTTTTCACAACAACCTCTATAGCAATGTGGGTATTTTGGACTAATGCAGATTTTATGCAAATCCTCACAGAAATGCTTGTGTTTCATGTTTCTAGAATTTTTTTAAATCAGTGATTTGATCATGTGTATCATGTGATCGTGTCATGTGTATTCCTTGGAACTGGATTGAGCCGAGGCAGGTTCTGTTATGATGAAGTTGATTCATGAAGAAGGTCATTCACACCTGAATTATTCCTGTCAGACTATGAAAACTATGCTCACTGTAGATCTGTAATCTATGTAAAACTCATAGAGTTCGAACTGGACTTTAGATACTTTAGTGCAGATTAGCAATTTCTGTTGTATTCAACATGTTTACCATCAACTATGTAAAGAAATAGAGTTTTAGGATTAAAAAGGACAAGGCATGTACCCTATAAACCTGCTGTCAGCACTGCATAGCATGAGAAATGTTTTGAGAAATGATGGCTATACACACTCACACACACACACATCTTCTAAGCCGCTTATCCTCCTGGGTCATGGGGGGAGCTGAACCCTATCCCAGCAGTCATTGGGTGGAAGGCAGGATACACCCTGGACAGGTCACCAGTCCATCGCAGGGCAATGGCTATATACCAATGAGCCAAAACATTATGACCTCCCGCCTAATTAGCTGTTTGTCCTCAATGTGCCGGCAAAACAGGTCAGACCCGCCGAGGCATGGACTTTACAGGACCTCTGAAGGTACCCTGTGGTATCTGGCACCAAGAGGTTAACAGCAGATCCTTTAAGTTCCGTAAGTTGCGAGGTGGAGCCGCCGCAGATCAGATTTGTTCCACCACATCCCACAGATGTTTGACTGGATTGAGATCTGGGGAATTTTTTCAAACCAGACAGGATAGCCTTCATTGCCCTCATGCATTAATGAGCACCAAGAGCACCAAATGAGTGATTTGTCCCTCCTTGGACCGCTGTCGGTAAGTACTCACCACTGCTGACCATGAGCACCCCACAAGCCTTGCCGTTTCGGAGATGCTCAGACCCAGTCATCTGGCCATAACTATTTGGCTCTTGTCAAAGTCTTCAGACCTGCCTATTCCTCTCGCATCTAACATGTCAACTACTGGAATTGACAGTTTGCTTACTATTAGTGTGTAAAATTCCCCCTGGTATTCGGGGGTCCAATGTTGGTTGGCTACTCCAGCGCTGGCTGGCTTCTAAAGCACTTGGCATAGAGACACTGAAGGCATAGTGACACTGATGCTAACTTCAGTAGCAACAAGAAGTTTGGTTTAATTGTTCTTTTGGAAATGCTCTTTGGTGTGGTAATGTGCTCTTCCACACTTGATTGAGATCTTACAAATCTTCTCTTTTGTCTTTGGTTTGAGAAATGAGTAAAAATTTACTCTTTCCACCAAACTCTTGGGAAATTGGGCAAGTTTTCAGATTTACAAATATGCTATGGCATATTGTAAAGGATTCTAGAGGTACCCCAGGCATAGTTATAGTTGCTAGGCTCTGAAAGACCCGCTGGATGAACCAATTTGCTACAGCGCTACCCTGAAGCAGACCAAGACAGAAGATCTCCATTTTGTCGTTGAAGCAGGTGACCAGGTGACCTTTCCCTGAATTAGTATCTGAGTGTCTGTTTTACATCAACAACTTTATTTTCAGGAACCCCCCAGAATTTGAGATTTTCAGGGGGTCCGAGAGGTTAATTAGGAGTTCCCAGACCCCCCAATGACCCCCTGTATTTCACACCTTGCTTACTGTCTAATATATCACAGATTGACCTGTGCCATTGTTACTTGATAATCAATGTTATACACTTCATCTGTCATAATATTTTGGCTCTTTTAGTAGAAATATCAGGCTTTATTTGGCACTTTGGGTGATGAGCTGGTTTTGTTCAATTTTGTAGGAAATTTGTTTGAACTCTTGATGGTGTGATAATGCAAGTTGAGTTAGGGTGTGGTTCAAATCCAAAGGCTGATGTTTATGTTCTCAGGCTGTTTTTGGGTTCAGACCAAAATTTCACACTGATTAAAGCTTTAAACCCTCCTCCTGGAAGTCTACCTTTCTGTAGGATTTAGTCTGAACTCAATCTAGTACCCCTAATGCACTCAATAAACCTCTTCAGAAGAACTAGAGTCTACAGCATACCTCTTGCAGGCAGCATGGAAAGCAGCAGCTGCTGCATTTCAATGGGCGTGTGAGAGTGAGCACTTCCCGTCCCATGTTGTCCTGGAGATGGAGGACGAAAGAGCGCATGGACCCACAGACCATCCTCGTGCAAAAGTCGGTCTGCTCAGCAGCAAGGAACACTTGCTGTCCTACGCTATTTTTGACTATGTATTGGTTGTTGGTCTCCCAACCGAAAATAGCTGCGAGAAAGACAATGGAAGAAAGACTCTCACTCGAGTGGTCTTGGTGTGAAACAAAGCACGTCACTTGAGTCGTCATGGTGTGAACTGAAGCACTTGTGGTGTTGTTCTCGTTATCACCCATTCACGTCATACCTTCTATTAGTTCCATTTTCTGATGGACAAGGAGCTGGTCAATCTGTGTGAGGAATGATGGACATGAAAAGAGGCCAGCGTCAAAACTGCATCGGAACGTGGGGAGGCAACTGCACTCATTTATAATAATTAATAATAAATTAGAGAGATAGGGGCAGAAAAAGTGAGAGAGAAAGAGAAAGAGAGAGAGGCCCAAAGAAAGAGAGACAGTGAGAAGAAATATGCTCACTAATTTATACGTTTTGGATTGTTCCATCCTTTACCTGAGTTAAGTACTCCAGTCCCGGAGGGCAGCCGGGTGGTCTCTGAGGGACGGGCATCACCACAGGTGCCTGAGGTGGCACGTAACCTGAGACATAAATACACTGATGTAAATACGGTGTGAAATTTCCATGGTCTGCAATGAAGTGCAAAATGTTTTGGAAGTCACCTTACAGGTCTTAAAGGTTACTTGCAGTGATAACCAGTGGCTGAAGTGAAAAACATTTCATTTTTTTATTTAAGTAACAAATAGAAATGCCAGCACTCCAGCTACCCTGGTAATGTAATAAAGCAATAAGCCACAAGATGCTGTGCATTACTGTTTATCTGGGGTTAAGGGGCATTGTTAGGCACGATGCAGAACATAAAATCTGATAAAATGCACAACTTTTCAATAAAATATTTAGGTTTGAATTAATAATGCTATTAATAAATAATCAATTCTTCCACAAGAATTGTTCCATTATGAAACGTAGCTTGTTTAGAGTTCTTTATTTGCCAAATAACATTGGATGGCTGAACAAGAAAAAGAACTTTACGCATCATGGTATTTTACAGCCTTTCTTAAATTTTCATGTCATATAATAATGACAATATATACTATCATATAGAAGTGTGTCTTGCAGAGTCCTTTGCCTTATACATAATTTTTTCTCACCAAATTACAATAATGCTTATTGCCACTGATTTCCTATATTTATTTATATATATATATATATATATATATATATATTTTAATTATTTTTTTTTAATTAGGCAAAAAGTTTGTGTAGTTTTGTGGGGGAAAAAAACATTTTTGTCATTTTTTAACATTAAAAAAGTCAGATCTGGACACTCTGATGAGGCAGGATGTAAATGTAATTCACTGTGTAACAAACTACGTAATTTACTATGTAATTATGTAATTAAGCAAGCACAAGAGGGAGCACGTTATCACGAATAACATCATGGCTGTGATTCGGACTCAGGCACAAACAAAAGGAGAGTACAGTAGATCATCACCATAACACACAATGGAGAGTTTTCTATTGCTTTTATATAACAGTTCTGCAAAATAAAAATACAAATAAAGCAAACAAGTATTGAATCAAATGTGCTTTAATATTAGCAATACCACAAAAAGTAGTACCCTTTATTGCTACAGAAAGAGCCATAAAACTGTTGCAATATCAGGTTTTTTTGCCAGAAGAACCTGAATGTGCTTTTGCACCCGTCAGTCAGAAAAGCAGTTTTACTGAAGTGTTAGAATGCACCTGAAGGAGGTGGCGGCATCGTTGCAGGTCCCTGAGGGGGCACATAACCTGGGGTGAAGAAAAATTGAACATAAGCATGGAACTCCAAACTCTGCATGCACTAAAACTGACAGTTGTTTTGATGAAAATGCACCTGGTGGTAGAGACGGTTGTCCATACGGGGGTGCAGGATAGACACTGTCTGAAGGTAGACCAGTGGTATAAACTGTGGGACAACATTAGCAACACACACAGCATTAGGTAGAACTCACGAGAGAATTTCTCATTTACCAGGGGAATCTAAAATGTCTGGATAATTTACTTGTTAAGATGCAAACAAAGTCAGTAAGATTGGTTTGATGAGTTCATTGTAGAGAAAAACAGGTGGTGATAGGAACCAGGAGTACGACACAAATCTAGCCAACATATTTACTATCCAAAACCACCTACACGTGTCTTCTGAGTTTTATATGTAATGTATGTAATGTAAATCCTGAAAACTTCCCTATCATAAAACAGTCTCGGTGTTCAGGCAGTGTATTCATAAATATTTCATGTACGTTGGTTTCTATCACCACCAGGTACATTTCTCTAGAATGGAGCATTTCACGTCAAACTACTTTGAATGACTTTGTGTGCTTCCTATTATTTCTTCCTGGAGGTAAAACCAAGAACACAAAGCCATTAACGCCAGCCGTATGAGTTAGATAAGTTAACTACATAACTATTATATATTAAAAAAAATTTAAAAAAAAAATAAAAAATCGACCTCCAATTTTCAGCTACTAATATGGAGGTGAAATTATTCAACAGCCACTAAGCACAACATAAAAATAATCTAGTTTACAATGTGCAAAATATTTTAGAGCTTATTTTATAACTATGTTTGAATTTGCATCTGGCACAACCAGTTACAGGAAATTATGCGATTAGTCTGTGGCTCCGGACCATTTGTAGTCTGACTTGAAGGGGCGCCATTCATTATCTTCACATTCAAATAAGGATTAAATAAGTCAAATGAGTTAACAGAGCATGAGGTGAAAGCTAACAGGGTCAGTTCACTGAACCACAACTGGCCAGTTGTTGTTGCTGCCTGTTTCCTGTGGGTGTAGATGTTTTGATTAGCTAAGGAGAACACCAAGGTTTCCAAGGGGTGTAACTCTATAATCTTGATGGTTGAAAAACAAACTGTGTCTTCATCAGGCTGGGGTCTTCTAAAGCGAAGTAATCAGTAAAGATAGGCCTTTAGTGGGCATCTTAAAAATATCTGCCATTTTATGGCTTCCATAGACTGCTAATTTTAAAAAACTTAAAAAAAATCATTTTTTATATCTAGAGTAGACAAAAGAATAGCAAGTATTACCAACAGCCCACAATTAATTATCCATATCCATTATGTATAGAAATAAGTCAGAGACCATCTTTCATTTGTTTAACTTCTAATCCAAGCAGCCATTAACTACAAATTATTAGTTTTTCCAGCGATATTTCTGAGAAGATAATAATAATGCACAGGAAGGAGAAAGTAAAAAGAAAAAAACAGAAATAACAGGACTTTCCAAAACTGGAGTTCAAAAAATGATTAAAAACTACAGAGAAAATGAGACTCCTAACAACCACCTGGAAGACCTGGTAGACCCCAAAACTGCCCCCATCAGATAAACAGCACTTAAAGCTTTCATCTTTGAGAGAGAGGAGAAAATCAAGCTGCTTCAGATCTGAAAACATCCACAGGTGTTTCTGTCCATCCTTCCACTGTGAGAAGACGACTCAGCGCTGTGGGTCTGAAAGGATGTGTAGCTGTCAAGAAGAACCTCACTGAGAAAAGGAGACGGACACATCAAACAAAGAAGCTGAAGAATGGACTGACCACCCCAGAGTCCAGACCTCAACACCACTGAATGGGTTTGATTACTTCAGAAAATGATCAACCAGCTTCTAAGACTGAACTTTAGAGGTGTGGAAAATATCCCTGCAGATTTCATTGAAAGTCTACTGAAAAGAATGGAAGCTGTAATTAAGGTAAAGAGTGGACACAAATACTGAAAAAATGGACAGTGTATTTACTTTTTGATGTTTCTTTGTAATTTTCTGGTCTGATGAATGATCAACTTGTACTTAATGGCCTAAACCAAGAATTTTAAATGATACATGATGAATTGTGTTAAATATGACCAGCAAGATGAACTAATAGAGTAGAAAAAAGGTCAACTTTGCTTTCAGGTTGACTTTAACTTCTTGATTTCATGAATTCCAGCTGTGTAGGGTTGAGGAAACAGCTAAAATATTTTGTTTTGGTATTAAAAGTGGCTCTACTGGTTTGAGTACAGCAAATGTTATGATTAGCTGACAAAAGCACTGCAGGCCTTTGAATATTCATCCATTAGGCTGTGGTCTTCAGAAGAAGCTAGAATTAACGTGTTACAGAGTCGTGAGCTGAGAGACAAACAACACCGCAATCAAAGAAAGACAAACAAATCTACAGCTGCACATTCCAGTAAGTTTTGCCATCTGGAAAACACGAAGGCTTCCTAAAATGCAATCAATCAAAGCTCTGTTGATTTCCCCATGACGCTAACTTAGCCATGTTGCTGACTGCCATCTGCACAATCTTACAGGAGACCAACAAAACCAGTATTAAATCAGCACAGAAGAACAGACCTATACCAAAACATCACTCACCAGGCGTCATTGGTGTTGTAAAAGGGTCGCTGCCTGGAGGTCCAGCAGGTCCACCTAATAAATCAAACAGAGAATGACTGCAGGGATGGTTTGTATTTATTTGACTCTAAGAGCATTTTTCCACTGCACTAAGTACCGGAACCTTTGGCACTAGATAACTGGAACAGGGCTTTTTCCACTGACCACCAGACTAATACTGAAGGGTCCTGTTTTGGTTTGGGTTCCTGCTCAAAACTGGTACCTTAACACTAACACTAACACTATTAGCAGTTATGCTAGCCACCACAGAAAAAATAAAAGTTTTTCAGTTCCACTTTATATTAAGTGTCTCTAATAACTGTGTAGTTACTTGTGAATAACATATGCAACAACGTTGTAACTACTGATGATTTAGTCACTGTTACAGATGGATTACAGAACTACAGCCTATGTAATTAGACATGTGTACCAACTTTAGTTTTGTCTTGTGTAATTACACAAGTGTATTTTGGTAGTTGTAACAGCCTATTCTCTCTCATGTAATTACACAAGGGTTATAACATAAATGTGATTACATTTGTAATCATACTGGAACAGCAGGTGTCAGCTTATCTTAAAAACTCATTATTACACAATATCTACATAACAACTACACAACTGTCCACTTAAAGTGTAACTTTAACACTGCACTACAGGAAAGTTCCTGTGTAGAACATTCACTTGTTTAATTACATGAATCAAAACAAGTTGACACATGTGTAATAACATAGGATGTAGTTCTGTAATCCATCTATAACATTGACTAAATCATCAGTAGTTACAGTGTTGTTGCATGTTATTCATGTGTAACTACACAGTTATTAGAGACACAATATAAAGTGGGACCCGTTTTTCTGACATTTTCATGCTCTTCTGAGAAAAATATAAGCTTTGCTTGATTCATCACCTGATCCTGTGTAACTGCAGACATCTGTGTGAGAGTGAGAGCACAGAAACGCTCACCTTATTACTTAATCTCAGCACACCTAGGGCTAATCTAGGTTAACTAGAAAGCAAGCTAATGTGTCAGTTCACACTCTGAGAAGATCAAATGAAGCTTTTTTACTCTAAACACTGTCCAAATGTAGGCATTTCTGTGAGTGTTTGAGTGCAGAACAGTACAGAATATCATTTCGTCAGCTAATAAGTTAAGCTAACTAGCAAGCAAGGTAGCAAATTAGCCAAATTAGAAGCTGTAGAGTGGCATAAAATGACCAGAAACACTGTTAAATCTTTAACTGTGTTTATTATAATGGTTCCAGCTGTCAAGCAGATGTAACTAAAACTAGAACCGAACAGTCCGTTGGGTTGGTTCCCGTTTTTGAATGTGCAGTGGAAAAATGCTACAATACTGATGAGCATCAGCTCATAAAATGCCTGTTTAGTGACACGAGGGAATAGCCTTATTGTTTTATTGGATAACTTGTGCAAAACAGACACAGGAATAACAGTTTCATGCTGATAAAGAGTATGATGGTCTCTGATGGTCTCTGATGGTCTCTGATGGGCTCTGATGTACGCAGTACAGTATGTTGCTGGTTAACAGGTTTTTGAGTTTTAAAACCAAACAACAAATTTTGGAAATCTTCTCAGAAGAGGCCACCAGCTTCCTTCAACACTGTGGAAAATTCACAGGGAGTGCTAACATTTTGCTGATGAAATCTGTGGTTTTGGCTTTGTGATTGCACAACTGGAGCGCTATTTGCCAATAAACCTCAAAAGAAGTGTTTACAACACCACCATCTAACTTTGGGTCAACCAAAACCTCAGACTTATTCTGAGATTTACTGTAATTGGCAGCTTCTGAAAAATGCTAATCTCTTTGCGTGCTCCTCGGGAGCTCCTTTAACCTCACTAGCCATGTTCTAACTTGTTGTGTCATCTCTCTTTTGTCCACAAGAGTCCTGTGATTTAGCACTTTGGCAGCATTCCTAGATCCTTGTTCTACATATCAACTTCTGGCGCTACTGTTTTGTTCTTTCAGGAGCAGCCTGAGCTGCCTCTTTGACAGCAGGGTTAGGCAAAATACTTTGAAAAAGTAGTGATGGCTAAATACTGAATACAGTATTTAGTAAAGTACGCTGCTACAATAAATAAGAAAGTCATGTATTCAGAATACATTTAGAATGCATCTTGATGAGGCACATGGGAAAAAATTAACTCATTGTTCCTTGTTGTTGCTGTTTGGCAGTTTTCTTCACATGATTATTCTGTTAATGTTTATCTTTCTCAAAAAAATTCTTATCAAAATAAAAGCTTCAAAAATTCTCAACTATTTTCCTTTTATTTCCTGCTTACAGTCCACTATTGCTCCCACAGCCCCCGAGCGGAAGTCCAGTACAACACCAATGCTAAACTTGCCAATATGTCCACTACCGAGAAGTCAATTTGATCATCCCTCAGAAAAGCTTAGTAACACTGAGATTAATAACTGATCATAACATTGATTTATCAGTTTACTCAGGCTTTAGGAGAGCTCAGTAACACTGAGATTGATAACTGATCATCACACTGATTTATCAGTCTACTGTTGTTTATTAAGTAGCGATGATGTGTAGATGTTGTGAAGAACAACTCCTGTGACACTGTGTTGCTAGTAAAAGATTTATTACATAGTAAAATAGCATCATATCAAGCACTACAAAGCACCTGAGAGAGGATCCGTGCCAATTCTAAATGTCCTCTCCCGAACAGAATGACCAACAGCATATATATATGGTTCTTGTTGTTGAAACAGGAGACAGAACATATGGTTCTCTTTAAAATGATCTCATCTATTTGGAACTAAGTGAAGAAGGGAGAAAGTGAGAGTCCCCCTTCCTATGGACATTTAAATTAAGGGGCTATGGACCCAGGGGCCCCCCTGGTTCAAACATTCCTATCCCCTGCACAAACAGAGCACACAGGGCACTCCTAGATACTTATATAAGATTAATAACTGATCATTACATTGATTTATCAGTCTACTAAGGCTTTAGCAGAGTTCAGTAACACTGAGATTAATAACTGATCACATTGATTTATCAGTCTACTAAGGCTTTAGCAGAGTTCAGTAACACTGAGATTAATAACTGATCACATTGATTTATCAGTCTACTCAGGCTTTAGCAGAGCTCAGTAACACTGAGATTAATAACTGATCACATTGATTTATCAGTCTACTCAGGCTTTAGCAGAGCTCAGTAACACTGAGATTAATAACTGATCACATTGATTTATCAGTCTACTCAGGCTTTATCAGAGCTCAGTAACACTGAGATTAATAACTGATCATCACATTGATTTATCAGTCTACTCAGACTTTAGCAGAGCTCAGTAACACTGAGATTAATAACTGACCATCACATTGATTTATCAGTGTACTCAGACTTTAGCAGAGCTCAGTAACACTGAGATTAATAACTGACCATCACATTGATTTATCGGTCTACTCAGACTTTAGCAGAGCTCAGTAACACTGAGATTAATAACTGACCATCACATTGATTTATCGGTCTACTCAGACTTTAGCAGAGCTCAGTAACACTGAGATTAATAACTGACCATCACATTGATTTATCGGTCTACTCAGACTTTAGCAGAGCTCAGTAACACTGAGATTAATAACTGACCATCACATTGATTTATCGGTCTACTCAGACTTTAGCAGAGCTCAGTAACACTGAGATTAATAACTGACCATCACATTGATTTATCAGTCTACTCAGACTTTAGCAGAGCTCAGTAACACTGAGATTAATAACTGACCATCACATTGATTTATCAGTCTAATCAGGCTTTAGCAGAGCTCAGTAACACTGAGATTAATAACTGATCATCACATTGATTTATTAGTACACTCAGGCTTTAGCAGAGCTCAGAAACACTGAGATCAATAACTGTGAAAGAAGTACTGTAAAGCTCTGTTTTGACAGACAGCCTCTTCAGTTCAGGTCAATGGACAATGCCTCAGCACATCTTACACATAATTTCATAACTATTATCGTGACATCAGCCTTTGCAACAGTGATGCGGCAGAAGTGTGATATGCAAATGAGCCACTAACCAACAAACATGGAATATATTGTTGCGTGCTGTGAGGATTCGGACCAGTCACAAATGTTCTTTAAGGTGTTTGAATGAATCAAGACATTCACAGGGATAATTTGTCAAAACCATTAAGTATTTTCAACATATAGGATGGTGTATTGCAAACATTTTTCCATAACTGCAGTCCAGTATTTTGTCCAGATTGTGGTGACCTGAGTCCTACATGGTTGCCAGGTCAACTGTAAAGCTGGTGGTTAATGCCTTTGTTTAGCTGTTTTGTTTAAGTGTTTACTGTATAAAAGAGCATATGTGTTCTGGTAGTCTATGCTGTGTCATACTAGCAATCCAGTGTTCAATATCTATTTCAATATTAATCTTAGAAATCTAAAATATCACAGTATGATCCCCCACGTCTGTAATCACGTCAACAGCCTACGCATGGACTGTGAAAATCAAGATCTTTTTCAAAATCTGTCCAGTTCCTGAGTCTGTTGCTGAACATAAGAACTAGGTTTACTTCCCAGTATTCAAAGCAGGCATCAGCATTTTTAGCACTGTTTTGTTAAGTTGAAAGCCGAAACCTGCCACTGTGAAAGTAGTTGCAAAACCAGCTAGGTAGTGCTGTCACGTAATCTACAAAGGTTTGGTGGTTTTTAAACGGTAGTCACTAAGGCGAGGTGAAATATAGCAGATTAATTGTCTTTTACAGTGTTTCCTCACTTGAATGCACTTTTTATCCTGATGACAGATTCATATATACTTCTCTTCAGGGAGTGCGTCTCTCATTCTCTGGCATTTGAACCTGTAGAAGCTATAACCCCAAATCAGAAAAAGTTGGAACGGTATGTTAAATTAAAATAAAAAACTGAAAGCAGTGATTTGTAAATTATTTTTGAATTATTTTTGTATTACAATGAATACAATACAACCGCTTTGATGTTTTACCTCATGAATTTTATTGCTTTTTCAAAATAAACACTTTTCAGTTTTGGTTCTTGCAACATATTCCAAAAAGTTGGGACAGTCAAGTGTTTACCACTTTGTAATGTTGTCATTCCTTTTCACAACACTTAAAATACACTGTATAGACAAAAGTATTGTCTTTTTCAGTGAATTCAAGTGTGGTACTGTAATATCATGCCACTGTCACAACAAATCAGTCTGCAAGATTTCTTCCCTCGTAGATATTCCACAATCAACTGCGAGTGTTATTATTAAAAAGTGGAAGTGTTTAGGAACCACAGCAACTCAGCCACGAAGTGTCAGACCACGTAAAGTGGGTCTCCGAGTGCTGAAGAGCATAGAGCATAAAAGTCACCAACGCTCTGCTGATCAATAACTGCAAACCTTCAAACCTTCATGGCTGAGCAGCTGCATGCCTGAATTACATCACCAAGCACAATCTCATGGATGGAGTGGTGTAAAGCGCCGCTACTGGACGCTGAAGCAGTGGAAACGTATTCTGTGGAGTGATGAATCACACTTCACTGTCAGTCTGATGGACGAGTCTGGGTTTGGCGAATGCCAGGAGAACGTTACCTGCCTGACTGCATTGTGCCAACTGTAAAATTTGGTGGTGGAGGGACGATGCTATGGGGTTGTTTTTCAGGGGTTGGTCTAGAACCCTTAGTTCCAGTGAAGGGAACTCTTAATGCTTTCAGGTCAGGTTGGGACTGCAGGCAGGCCAGTGCAGCACCCGCACTCTCTTCTTCTGCAGCCATGCCTTTGTAAAGTGTGCAGAATGTCGTTTTGCATTGTCTTGTTGAAACATGCATGGACATCCCTGAAAAAGATGTCTTGAAGGCAGCCTATGTTGCTCCAAAATCTCTGTTCTTTTTGCCATTCATCGTGTCATCACAGAAGTGGTTCTTTTCATCTTTGGTCTGGAGCACAAAAAAAGACCTGATTCATCTGAATCAGATGCCTCTGAGCCCAGAGAAGTCGACAGCGTTTCTGGACACGGTTAACATAAAGCTTCCTTTTGGTACAGTGAGGTTCTAACTGGCATTTGTGGATGTAACTGCATATTATAGTGCTTGACAAAGGTTTGCCGAAGTGGTTATATCACTTTTAGATGGATGACCGTTCTTAATGCCGTGCCATTTGATGGATCGGAGAGCAGTTATTCAGCTTAGGTTTATGCCTTGGCTCTTTCCGCACTGGAATTCCTCCAGATTCCTTGAATCTTTTAATTATGTTATGCACCATAGTGGGTGAAATATCCAATTCCCTTGCTATTTTTATTTGAGTAACACTGTTTTTCATTTCAATAATTTTGTCACACATTTGTTCTCAAACTTGTGGTCCTTGGCCCATCTTTGCTCCTAAAGGGCTGGGCCTTTCCTGGATGCTGCTTCGCCTGTTGGCATCACTTGTATCAAATTACATAATTATTGAATTATTTTACCTCATAACTAGCTCTAAATTTCCTGTGTCCTGACTTTCTTTTGGAATGTGTTGCAGGCCTGAATGGCAGGAATGGATGTATATTTACAAATGAAATTTAGTTGACCAGACAAAAAATGAAATATCTTGTGTTCATACTGTCTGCAATGGAATACAAACCAATATAAGTTTAGAAATCACTACTTTCGTTTTTTATTTGTATTTTCTGACCGTCCCAACTTTTTCCAATTTGGGGTTGTATTAGCTGGTTGAGATCCTCATCTTTCCACATCACCTTTCAAAGTGGCCATTTGCTGAGTGCCTGTAATTGATATCAAAAAGGGCTACCAAGCATTTCCAAATTATAGGCTATAGTCTTCACATAGTAGTCTATAGAGTAATCCACTGTTGATAGTCCACACCTAGAGAGGCCAGTGTGGTCTAACAACCACTGCTCTTAGACAGTGCTTGTATTTCCACTGAGCACTGGATATGAAAATAATGGCAGATATCTTTAAGCCTCATTTCTTCAAACCATTGAAGGACGCAGTTATTTGGACTATATAAGGACCTTGTGGCCTTACCTTGTGCAAACACTTGAATTCTTCAGAATTAAAATGCTGTAAAATACAAACATATTTAATATTAGACTCTGTACAAAATGTCCATATTTGAGTCTCTTTTTTAGAAGAAAAGCAAAAGAAAGAAAGTGGGACATTAAATAAATTCTTTATGGGGCTCACGGTGTGAAACAGCACTGAAATTCTCACAATGAACCAAATGCCTCTCGTGCTCTTGGCTACTGTCCAGACAGTGTTGTATGAATTATTAATTTTTTGTCTCACCTTCAACAGGGAGCGTTTGGTTTCACTTAGCTACAGCTTGAAAAGCACCACGGCAGCCAGTCGCACGGTTTACAGAAAGAGAACCAATATCTTAAATACAAGTCTGACAGTCTAGTTCAGCCAACTGACGGATTTCCATGTGTTTTCCTTGACAGCCAACTCAAACAGATCAGTCCACACTTCAGTCTTCCACTACAGAACTACTTACAGGACTTTGGTTGAAGATGTTCAGCAGATGAAACTAGCAGTTGGATGATGCTAACAAACTAGTTCCGTTCATCTCCAGCATCCATTTCAACATAACCGACTTTAAACAGATCCGTTCTAGCCAATTTCAGCTCGTCTGTCTACCCAACGATGACTCCTCGGTCCTCGTCATGTGTGATGGACCTCTGGAAGTACTTGAAGTCTAGTAGTCTAAGGTTGCCAGGTAACTCGCAAACAAAATCCACACTCGTTGAATGTATGGTTCCCATCTTAATTTTTAATGACAGTGAATATTAGTTTGAAAGGAGAAAGGTAGGGGTGTACTGCTCGGTGGTGAGCGGTAATGAGCTCCAGTTACTCAGGTACATGTGGTCAAGTTACACTGGCTGGGTTTACATAAATCCGATTGAATACATTCCGATTATAGATTCATACTGAGGTGTATTTTATCTGACTCTACTCAACAATCTGATGGAAATCTCCATTTACATGCTCACTACAAGTAATCCGATCCAAAATTACACACATGCATAGAGAACCGCTTAGTGTAGACGTTACCATGACAACCAGCATCACATGAGTCCAGTCAGAGTGAGATGAGCAGCAGTGAGCAGCGCTTGTGTTTTTAATTACTTTAAAATGATGTCAGACTCAGGAAAACGTCCTTCACATGTCCTTATTAAAGAAGGCCGAGAGGAAGACGTCGTGTTCTGAGACACATAAACTGGACGTCCGTCCCACCGCCGTCTTTTAAAGATCAGAGCATAAACTTCGTCTCCTCTGCAGACCAGTTTCTGCTCCGCCATGTTGAACGGTGTAAACTATGACATGACGAACATGATCAGAACAGACTTAAACTTTCCGATAGGGAATGTAATCAGATACAGGCGTTTACACATATATTATTCTTCTATTTAACGGATTATTTACGGGATTACCCACCTCGTTCAATCAGATAGAAACTGTATTCTGAATGGCCTCAATTGGACTAGACTAGTCCGATTTAGGTGTATACATGAACGTATTCTGTTCCAATTGAGCTATGAGTCAGATTATTAATGGATTATCAGGCTGCATGTAAACGTGGCTATTTTGATGCATTTATATGTTTCTGAGTATTTTCAAGTTAACTCTTACTTTTATTCCGGTTTATCTATGAGGACAGTAGCTTTACAGTAAGATAATACATTTGGCTGCTGTCGGAAGAAAACCTTGTATCTCCTTTTTTTTTTTTTGTTTTTCAGTTTTTGACATAATACAGAAAATACCTGTTGTCCTTTACATTGTATATAAATCTCATGATGAATGGACTAAAAGAAATGACTCAAAATGACTTGGAAAAACATCTGGTTCCATTGACTTACATTAAAAATAAAGTAGGTTTTTTCTTCTCCTGTAAAGTTACCATTTTGGATATACAAGGTTTTCTTCTGACAACAGCAATTTTATTTTTCAGTTGAATTTCTTTGTTTTGTTAGTTCAGCTCCTAGCCTTGCTTTGCTGTTGGACACACGTCTCAAATTTGAGCTTTAGCTTTCTATTTTAGACCAAAGGAATCCCAAAAAGAGAAGAACAGAGCCTAACTTTAGTTCCTGTACTGATAGATGCTGGACAGATCAAGTTCCACTGCAGTTTTCTAAGTCACTCAATACTTCAGCAGTTTTTTGACCTGATCCTTTTGTACTTCTACTCCAGCTGTTATGCTGACTGTTACTCGAGTCATTATTTCACAGACGTAACAAGACTTTTACTTGAGTATGGGTTTAGGCTACTTTACCCACCTCTGGTGTTACCACATCACTAATGAACAGCCTACTATAAGTTTCTGAGGTAACAATTAGCTAGAAATTTTAGAAATTGAGTCGTAGAATTCTGAAGAAAAGCACAGAATCTCTGTTTCCCAGCATGCAGGAAGAATCTGCTCTTGAAAAGAAAAAAAAACACTTCAGAGTCTAAACCACAACAGAGGAAAACGCAGTTTACAAGCCAGATCTACAGAGAAGAGCCTGTAGTCACGAAAGTGTGGACAGATGAGGAGGTGCTGAACATCTGTCAGTGTAATAGCCCATTAAATGTCAACCAAAAATCCAAACTGACCATTTTCCCTTGTTAGTTCTTGTCATCATTCCATTACAAGGACAAAATCCTTGTTTTCCTTCATGTTTTTTTATCGCAATGTAAGTTTCACCCCAGCACTAAAACGTCTTCTGAGGTTTGATAACATCGCCGTCCACCAGCAGGTGAAGAAAATAACATTAACCAACTAGAATGAAGAAAATGCAGTGATCGTGTAGCTTAAACAGTTGCTAGGCAGTTGCTAGGGTGATGCTGAACGGTTACTATGGTATTTCAGGTGTTTGCAAGAGTGTTCCTAGGCAGTAGCTGTGGTATCACAGATGGTCGTTAGGGTGCTGCTAGGTATCCCAGGTAGCTACTGAAGTGTTACTAGGCGGTTGCTATGGTATCACAGATGGTTGTTAAAGTGTTGCTAGATAGTGGCTAAGGTGTTGCTAGGTGGTTGCTATGGTATCCCAGATTGTTACTAAGGTGTTGCTAGGCGGTTGCTATGGTATCACGGATAGTCGTTAGGGTGCTACTAGGTATCCCAGGTAGTTACTAAAGTGTTCCTAGGCGGTTGCTATGGTATCCTAGATAGTTGTTAAAGTGTTGCTAGATGGTTGATATGGTATCCCAGATTGTTGCTAAGGTGTTGCTGGGCAGGTGCTATGATGTCCAAGTTGGTTTCTAAGGTGTTGTTAGGGGAGTATGGGAGGAACAAAAGGACACACAGAGAAAGCGCCTTACTTCCATATTTTGAAACGACCAGCAGACTGACTAACCAGGTGTGTTGTTACCTGCTTTGTTGCCATTTCCTCTTAATAGGAGTGTGAAAAGGTCTCTCTCTCTCTCTCTCTCTATGTGTATGTGTGTGTGTATATATATATATATATATATATATATATATATACATACACACGCCTACACACACACACACACACACACAGGCCAACAATTTATACACTTGTACCTCATCACTAAAGTGTTGGGCTGATGTGTAAGTGAAATTATTGGTAATGTGCCTAAAAATAGTCACTGTACAGAATATACTGAACTACATTTTATGCTTAAAGGCCTCCACACTCACTGGCCACTATATACATCATTTACACACACAGACAGCAATCTTCAAACGGGAACTCAAGTGTTCACAGTGTTCGAGTCAGCCCCCAGGTTCCGTTCACAGAAGATTTTTTTTTTTTTCCGATTCAGGAAACTAAACTGAAACCCGAACCACAAACAAGAGCCAGAACATTCTGCAGAAAAGAGCTTGGCAAACCACTGTTGCAAACTGTGGTTAGATGTTGATGTATGTGAGCTACAGGTATTGCATGTATATAATTTTAAACATTTTCAAATGTATAACTGTGACCTGTGTACAGAAATGCAACATTTAGAAAATACATGAGAATTAAATTCCCCAAAAACTCTAGGATATTGTACACTTTGCTACAAATTTGTCACGTCATCTTTAGTTCTGTAATTTGGGTAGAAGATGAATGTGCACATGGAGATATGGCGCAAAAGTGAGAGACCACTATTCACTTCTTTCGTTTTCAAAGTGTAAGTTTTCTTTTCCAGCATCAGAGAGGAAAAACAGAAACAAAGAACATTCAGCAGAAAATTACCTCTAAGCCTCAACAACCAACCATGATATACATACATACACACACACACACACACACACACACACACTCACATACATATTATATATATATATATATATATATATATATATATATATATATATATATATATATATATATATATATATACATACATACATACATATTTATATACACACATACATACATTTTTTAATTTATTCTTTTTTTTTTTTTTCCAGAAAAAAACCTGGTATCTTCAAATTGAAGGAAAAAAAACTTTTAATGTAAGTCAATGGAACCAGACTTTTTTCCAAGACATTTGAGGTAACTTCTTTTAGTCCATTCATCATGAAATTTACACACAATGTAAAGGACAACAGGTATTTTCAAATTATGTCAAAAACTGAAAAATGTTCTTCTGACAACAGTGATTTCATATATATATATATATATATATATTTTCTCTCTCTCAAAGATGAAAGCTTCAAAGCTGACGAGTGGAAATCTCACTTTATGAAGTAATAGAGGTGTCAAACCATGTCAAACTTTAATTTCATTCTTTAATAATTGGCTCATGAGCCAATCATCTATCATTTCTACCAAACACGGTGGGCGTCTCAGACCTCACAGCTTTTCTTGCATTCCTGGGAAAATTATAAATATCTTGAAAATAATACTTTGATGATATTTGAAAACATCACAATACAAGTGTGACAGAGGACAAAAAAGCTTTTTCATGCTTAGGTTCTGCTCTTACTCCACATCAAAGGAGTTAATTCACTTCTTGCTAGACTGCCCAGAGGCCAGCCAGAGAAACTCAGTCTCTTACTGAGTCACTGACTGACCGTTTGACTGACAGACACCCATTGTTGAAATGTGCTTGTTCATTTCTCTTTTCACACTTCCATGTTTGATGCAGTGGAAGTAATCAGAGTAGGCAAAACACTACAGTAGCATCAGTGTTTGCAAATGAGAATGTAAGGAACCTGTATACGTTTACATTCTCTACCTAGTGTCTAAGCGTTGGCCGTATCATCAGGCCTTCGTGAGTTTGATCCCCAGTGATGCTGCAGCCATCCACATCCATGAGTCCAAGAGAGCACAACTGGCCTCGCTCTCTCTTGGTGGGTAGGTTGGGACCCCCCTACCCACATCACTCAGCATAATGCTAGCTAGCACAGGTATCTGTTAGCTGACTTAACAAAACTGGTTCTCCTCCATGTGCATTAGCCGTCCCAATGACATTGTGTCAGCAGCAGTTAGAAAAGATGCAGTGACTGGCTTCACATGACTTGGAGAAAGCTTGCGTTTGCAGCATTGCATGATTGGGAGAGTCTCTGGAACTGGATACGACCAAATTGGGAAGAAAAAAAGTGTGAAAATCCCCCCCAAAAAGTAGAGTGCTGACAATGCTTCAGCACTGGATGCGTAAGTGATACAGATTTAATGAAGGTAAAAAGATGTCTGTGATCAGAATGTGACAATCTATAAATAAAGAATTGGTGGTGTTACTTATCGAATGTTAGGCACACTTTAAAAAATG